CACAGAAACGTTTCTGCTCGTCAGAGCCCAACATTTCCAACCATTAAGCCAATCAAATTTGTACCTTCAGAATATTGCGACGTAGATCGTAAGAAAGACCAAAAAAGACCGTATCAAAATCATGCCCCTAAAAACTTACAGTTTCTTTTAGAACGCCCTCATTGGCTGGTGTTAAGATTACCCATATAACGCACAATTCATCACAGCGGCTAACGACAAGAGTGGAACAATGCTATTAAAAGGCCTTAAAAAAACGGGTTCTGCAGAAAATAAAGGACGATCAGGTCCTCTGTGAATTGTCAGTGAAAAACCAAGATACAATTAAAATCTCAGTTGTCAGTTAAAAAGGATCAGTGTGAATATGGGGACTATCCTAAGTGCACTTTCGTGGGTGTTATGTCATTTTTAATATTTTAGAAAACGAAAATTGTAGTACCTTTAACATTGTTTGAAGTTGGTCACATTTGAGAGCAATATCAAGACGTGTTTATACAAAGTAGCTTATTCGACGACCCGTGACCAGATATTTCAAACGTCAGGCTGTCTACGTCACAAACCAGAACTGAAGTCAACAATGCTTCACGTTGACGTTAAATTCTAAATCATCGACACGTTATTGAGAAAATACACAAAATACAGTTATAGGAACTGGAAATTTAGAGGAGGTCAAACAGCAATTCATGTATAGACCAACGGTCGCAGTCACTTAAAATCCCATCATATTGTTCCAATCTTCAAGCAGCAGATAGTGTGGAGCAAAGATGCAGCAAGAATACATGTAATTCTCATAAGTTTTCTTTAGCTTCCCGTTTTTACCGATGGAGTTGCTTGGTTCCTTTCTATTTCTTCTTATCCCACATCTTCTCTGTATCTCAGGTAAGTGACGACGTTTTTACAACTGAAAACTTTCGAAACTCAATTGTTGTTCATTTAGAATATTCTCGGTTGCTTCTGTCTTTCAACTTGAAGTTTCTAAAAATTGCGGTCTTCTGTTTTGGTAAAGAGTGTACTATTTCTAATAGTTTGAAGCCCAAAAATGATTAAGTGTAGTTCATAAGGTGATCCTTGTAGCTGTACCGATAACCATGCACTATGAATTGGCAAGTAACTTTGAATTACAAATGAACTTGTTTGCACGATCCTTTTTGAAATACAATTAGCGACGTGTTATTTCGAATTAATTCCACTCACAAACTTGAAAAATTTTAACACGAAGCTATCATGATGTTCCCTCATTAACTTTTAACAGAAAAAGCAGGGTCAGGAACTTTTCTCTCAGGAGCTTTACCCTACCTTGAGATTACGGATCTTGTTCAGTTTTATACACATTATTATAATTCCTGTCTGAACGAGCTTCTTTGTGTTTATTCATGCATTAAAGGATCATTAAAGAGAATAACATTTAAAAATATTCTGCATATAAAATCACTGACATGGCCTCCTAAACATAAATGAGTATTTACAATATGAAAATTCATTATACATATTAAAAGATTAAAATCATTTCTAGCTATATATAGCTAGTGGTTTGAAATATCCTTGCTTCGTTTTAGAAACCTGGGAGAAATTATCAGTGTACAAACTGATTTTACCCACAATCCTGAAAATTAGCTACAAATGTTTGTTTATAGCGAAAGTTTACTTAAAGCTGCTCTCAAACGTCTAAATTTTCAGCAGCTCCACTTAGTCGAAATAAATCATAATTGCAGTTATAGAGACTATTTAATTGTAAATAATTCTAAAAAACCTCGCTGAAACGTGGTTATTTGCGAAAGAATAAAAATTTCATGATAATGACATAAATAATGATGTTGATAATTTTATATCATTTAGACGCGCAAGTCTCTTTTGTGTTGACCCCTGCAAGCCCTGTACAAGCTCAACAAGGTGCTAATGCTACCCTATATTGGGACTACACAAGCAACAGACCACTCACATTTGCCCAATGGGGGACTACGGATAGCGAAAGCAAACTTCAAACAATCATAGCAAAACAAAGAGAAAACGGCGAAGTAGAGTACTCACTGAATTACAGAGGGCGAGCCACAATACAAGGGAGAGCTTCTCTTATATTGATAAACGTGAAAGAGAGTGACAGCGGCCAATATGGATGCCATCTGACGTTCGACGGTGTCACAATCATTAACTCTACAAGTTTGATTGTCTCAGGTAAAGTTGCGTAAAAACTCTGCATTGTCCATCATCAACGTAACCCAGATACTAAAATTACAGTCATTAGAGCCTCATTTTAACTCCTCTTTGACTGTATAAAAGCAGAGCAGCGACATAAAACACAACCAATTTCCCTTACAGCTTTTGCATAAAATAGCTTTATAGTTCTAAATAATAAACAATTATATGAGGCTATATTCGTTTTCTTTTGTTTCAGCCCAAACCACCACAACGCAAGTCCCAACTGTTGCAGGGTTAGAAGATGACGAAAACACCAACTTTCATCCGATTTACCTAGCGTTTGTTGCCGTGGTTTTAATCCTCATCGTCCTCGTTATTGTTTATTTCTTTGTTAGTCGCAGACGAAGAGGTAAGTACAGGGAATGAAGTTCAAATGTACGCCATCATTGGTTATACCCATAGTCACACCTTTTTATCACAGCGGAAAGAAAAGGTTCAGAGTGGTTATACGTTCCAGGGGTGACGGCATTATATAGGTAAGAATTATTTTACCAGGTTTGGCGTTTTTGGGTCCAAAAGAACTGTCCAAAGCTTGAAAAAGGTGTCCCCCAATAGAGATGTGGAGAACTAGGGATTTTGTTATATGTAGTTTGTCACATATCCTTGGTAACAAGAGAGTTGTCAGTAAAAGTAATAATTGGGTTAGCGTAGAATATACCCTCACGGAAAAAGTTCTACTCTACTTGCAATTGTAACAGTTTCCTCTCAGTGATATCCTAATGTAGAACTTTGGTGGTATTCAGAGGGAGCAGCGTTTGTAATTTCTCTCATAAATCGAGGGATAGCGCCCTTACATTTGTGAATTCTGGTGGATAAAAATGCAAATGGTTTTCCAGTTGTCTCTTAACTTATGTCAGTCTATTTTTTTAATCTAACAAAAAGAACACAAAAGGGGAGGGGGGTGGTGGGGACGATGAGAAGGGAAAATACGTAGTAGAGGCACTGTTTCTCCGTCCTTTGTCCCCTCAGTGAGTGCGCATGCCTTGACGCGCTATATCATTAGTCTCTTGCTGCTTTTGATCCTGTATATGAATCATCGGAGATGACCGGGGACGAGTAAGATCAAAGCGAGCGTATTTTAAACGGTAATGTAGGAGCTGCTTGCTTGGGTCTTTCCTGATTCGCTCTTTTAAACAATGGTAATTCATTGTTTACTATTGTTTTCCACTTTTTTCCGGTTTGGGTACAAACGAATTGGCTTTCAGCTTCCGAGCAGCTGCTACATGACCATGATGATGGTAATTACTAAAGTCTGTTCCGAATTTGCTGTTCAGTTCCTTTTTTCTACCCCTTAATGGATGCATGCATCTAATTAAAAAATGCACGCGATTCCTGCATCACCTAACACGACCACATACGTTGGTAACTAAAACTACCTCCTTTCTCTTTTGTAGTACCAGTTGTCATCGATAAAAGGTATGTGTTACTGAAAGTAGAAAAGGGGTACAAAAAAATCTTAAATTTAAACAAAATGGAGTAAGGCAGGAGACTAAACAAGGAAAGGAGGTGTCAGATTTAGTACTTTCTCAACCATCACCAATTAACGACGTTCTTTTTGTAAAATAACAATAATCTGTAAATTATTTCAAGTCAGATTAAAAATGTCACTAATCAGCCCTGGCGTGGGGTTTTCCGTTTCCGAGATTAGTCCCCATGTGAGCATTCAGAAGTAAGGTTCTTATTTCCCAGTTTCTGCAAACATGATATCATACTAAATCTGTCACATAGGCACTATTCTAACATGTCACAAATGTATTTCCTCCCTGTATAGAAATTCTCGAACATTTGGTCCAGATGTAAATGGAATGGAAATGGTAGGAAAAAACATTTTTGCCCATACTTGTAACAAAGATACATAAACCATTTTTCTAGTAACGAGTTTAAATATTGCATGTGTACAAGGGTTACCTGCTGTGAGTACATCTTTTGAGCTTAACTATAAGTGTTACGTTCAGTAGTCGATAGTAACCCTGAAAATGTCAATTCAATCTACGTACACCCCAAGTTCAGTACAAGATAGTGAAGTTGGTTGCATTCCGCCATTCATTCCATTTGCAGTGAAGTTATTACCCATGGAAAGACTTTGACGTAGAAAACATAAAAAAGGTATAAAATTCAGAGTCGTAATTTATAATTGTCGAGATCGACGTATTTACTGCTAGTGGAAAAAGCAGTAAGGTCAGGAAATTATTGCGAGTCAGAGCGAACCTATTTTTGTTATAGCCTCGATAGCTCTTTTGCTTCCCACAGTTTCAGACAAAATGTTTTTTTTTTCCGCGAAACTAAAGGGGTAACTAACCTATTGACTGAGACCTTGTGGTCGGTATAAGATTCTGGAAAACTCCACCCATGACCCCTCCCCTCAACCGAAATTGGTCTTGACGATACTTTAAGGGTGGGATAGGTGGGTAGAAACTCAATGCGGTTTTCTGATCATATAAATTAAGCAAAGACTTTTTGAATGAATGGATAAATGAATGAAGAGTCGTAGGTGAGAGGACGACAGGCGTACCCTCTTACAATACATATTAACATGTCATCAGTAATCTCGGACGTCAGCATATATACAAAGGCGCCACTGGCAGCCGCCTTCAGTCCATTTATTAGCTTAATATACCCACCCAACCCATGATGTGAATGACGTGATTTGTGAAGGTTGACCACAACACCGGGGTCTACGTCCCCTACTCTTTTCGAATAGTGGTGTGGGTTCTTTGACGTCCCACAAGAACCAGATAAGTGTAAGTGCTGTGAAACGGGACCTACGGTTTTTCGTCCTTATCTGAGAAGATTAGAAAGTCTAACCGTTCGCAGATGTCTTTACAAAGGCAGCACTTTCTTGTCAGTTACTTAAAGACCCTGAGTGTTGGTCCGGCCGGGGTTCGAACCCGAGACCTCCCGCTCAGCAGACCAACACTCCTCCAACTGAGACAACCAGGTGACGCACATCAACCGGAAGTGAGGCCTCCTTTTTCATATGCCTTGACGATAACAAATTTGTATTGCAAAGTTTCTTTTCTCTTATGAAGATGATTTACCCGAGAGTTTTTAGTAACCAAACCACTGCCCAATGATGCAAAAAGTCCACTTCCGGTTGACGTCCGTCGCTCAAAAACGCTGTTACTTAAGCTCCCTATAATACTTGCTCTTACAACTAGAATCTACTACCATCAACATACACAGACGTCGAAGTAGATAAAAGTCTTAACGAGCCATATGACTCTGCGCGTCAAGATTATTGCGTCATACCACCTTTAATACCTAATCCAAACGAGAAGGACTGGGAAATTCCGCTGGAAAGCGTTGTATTGGTGAAAGTAATAGGCAAGGGAGCATTTGGCCAGGTCGCAAAGGGCATGGTGAAGGGGTTCGACAAAGACAGTGGAAATCGCCTCGTCGCAATTAAAATGCTAAGAGGTAAGGCTAAGTGATTATACTGTTATAAACAGGCCTCATCAAGGTTTTGGAAGCCATCTTACAGCTGATCTTAAAGAGCAGGCAACAGCGTGAGAAATTACAGTGTTTGAATAAGAATCTAAGGTCCAAGAATATCCTTAAAACCGCTTGTTCTGAAAAAAAAAAACAAAACAAAACAATAAGGCCTATTAAAAATGGTCATTTTGATACGATTCATTTAGCTATAATTGTCAAGAACCTATAGACTTTGTTTAGACTTTTTTAAAAAAGTCTTTATTCCTAATCTAGGCAAAAGATAAACGTCACAGTGGCTGACAAAGTGTTTTCCAAAAACATGGATTTTTGCAGATAACCCCACTGATGAAAATAGACAAGACATTTTGGCTGAGCTGAACACGATGAAGAAGCTTCCACCACATCAAAATGTGATTCAGTTGCTGGGTTGTGTAACAAAGACAGGTATAAAAAGCGGAGATGTACAGAAATGTCCTTATGACAATGTGTCCAATAATCGCTACGTTTTCTGGGGTAGCACTTTTTACGGGACGTATATCGGGCAAATCCATATCACCTTTGTGCTTCAAATAGCAGGGAACGAGATTAGAAATTAGGTTTAATGTACTATGCTATGATGTTTTAAAATATTAAAAGACAGAAATAATAATCAGATGGTAATTAATTAGGACAGACCTTGGAAAGTTGTTACGGTAATTTTAATGGCATATGTTACTGTTAACCTTTGACTCTGAAATGGCCGCCATCAATTTAATAGTTAAACTGAAGCAGTTTGCTGATTTTCTTTGTTCTGCTTTGTACCCGCACTTTCGCAAGCAAATGGGGCCTGGCCTCATGTTGTCTAAGACCTCAAATAGCTTTCAGCATAGTAACCAACCTTCACCAAACAACGTCTATGGAATAACTGAGCAGCTAAGTAGTGCGGAAGAGGTTAAGTCTACGGTTTGTGCACCTGGAAATAATTAGCATAGTAAGATTGTGAGTAATCCGTGTCACCCCTAAATCATCCTGCGTCGAGCCTAGCAGCTGTGTTGTACTACTTTTTGCAAGTTACTTTCAGGTCAAGTTAATTTTGTACGATGCCAAAATGACTTAAAATATCGGGCATAATTCCTTTGAAGGGTAACGAATTAGATTGAGGACCGTGACTCTCTTATTCCCTGATTGTAATTGCAACTTAAACCCTTTAAGTCTCAATAATGACCAATATCAATTTTTTCCTGACAATACCCATACATTGTCAAGAGATTAGGTTATGCGAATTAATAAAATGATCACCTCACAGAAAATGCTGTGATATTTTGTCAAATTCTCTCAACTCATTAAGGAAATGTGAGGGGATCAGTTTGGAGAATTTGTATGCGGACATTGGGGCTTAAAGGGTTAAGTACTCTACTTGCAATTGGAATTCAAAAGCAATACGTAAAAATTGCCATTGACACATCTACTTGCGTTCAACACCAGATCCTGTTATGGTAATAACAGAGTACGTCCCTTACGGGGACCTTCTTGGGTTCTTGAGGAAAAGCCGAGGACTCCAAGACAATTACTACAAAGACCCAGATATCAAACCTCAAAGTTCGTTGAGATCGAAGCAACTCTTTGGGTTTGCTTGGGATATTGCTAGCGGAATGGAATTTTTGGCTTCAGAAAAGGTATGTATGTTATGGAATGTAAACGATCATGGTGTCGAGCTACTCGCTGCTAAAAAGAAAGGCGAAAGCTTTGCGGCTAGCATGTCATGGATCCGGGCAAAAGTGTCCTTTGCGCTGCTGAGATCATCATTATTTTTCTTAAGAGTTTCCCGAGTTTCTAGAAGAGTCAATTTAGAACTGTCGGACACTGACTTAGATGTTGAAAAAGGACTCGCAAATATTCGATACGAACATGCATCGAGAACGCTAATTTATTCCTTCTTTTAGTCAGAATACGTTTACCTTTAAAAATATATTTTTGTAAAATCAAAATGAATTGTTTTTAATTGAAATGAAACGTTTTTAATTCGAATATTTTTAAACTGAAATGAATATTTTAATCGAAAGTTTTAAAAGTGTTTTGTTTTAATTGAAAGCAACTGTAAATAGTGCTTTGACGGAAATTAATTGTACGTAGGATTTTCTAGTTAGCTTTGTTATCAATAAAAGATTATTTTTACTTTCATATAAAAATACTCAGATTGAAACATTGAAGCGCGCTTCTTTCCGCACTTCGATTTTTAGTATCAACGTCTAGTACAGTAACAGTATTTTTCAGCGTAGAAGAATTTTCCTCCACTACGTACGCAGGTTTGTATAAGTGTTGAATGGATATCTAATACGCCAAATATACTGTAGAGCAAGAACCTTAAAAGAGCTGCTATTACAGAAGTTCTGTTCTCTTTTGTAGATAGTACATCGAGACCTTGCAGCTCGAAATGTTTTGGTAGGAGATGGACAAATCTGCAAAATTACAGATTTTGGCTTAGCTAGAGATGTGTTCCAGGAAGACTTGTACAGGCGAACTGCAACGGTAATGAGCGAGAGTTAAGCAGTTTATTGGATAGAATAATAAAGTGATAATGGAGGGATAGTTTGTGAAGAAACTGCATTCCATTACGAGGGTTTAGTAATTGTTTACTTGTTAGGGTGGGGAAGTGAGCCTATTCAGCAATTTGTTACATTTTTTTCTTTGTTTGTTTTTTGTTTTTCATTTCGTGAAGGAAAACGTTGATTTATTTGTAAAATTAAGAACATGACTGCAAGTTAAAACAACCTATTAAAGAATAAACAAGGAAACTGTGCTGATCATTAGTTGAATTTCGTCTTATTCGTAGGGTCGTCTTCCTGTTAAATGGACAGCATTTGAGTCATTGATGTACGGAAAATGCACAACGATGAGTGATGTGTAAGTTACTTCCGTATTAACTTATAGAAAAGGCTTGCCATATGATGACTTTAGGCCCTGTGCAATTTAGGAGAGCTTTATACATTAAGCCCAGCTGGACGGTGCACATTGGGCTGATTTCCTTGTAACAGGACAGCCAAAATTTGTGGATGGAACTGAAGACAAATATCCGACCTTTTTACCCTTGGCGGCCCATCAGACGTATATTTACCTGACGGCCTCAATTACAGCTTCATGAAAAAAGCATTACTATTAATAATATAAGATACGGCTATTACTGATGCCTAACTTAGTCTTTTTTCTTTCAGATGGAGTTATGGAATTGTTATGTATGAGATATTTACTATAGGTAAGAAAAAGAATCAATTTACGTTGCAGTTCGCTCACAAAACGGACCTTGCTCTGCAAGGAAGCGGGCCGGTCCCACCTTACCGGTATGTACCATAACTCGGAACATCCTAACCACCGGGAATATCAAAAGCAAGTTCAATTAATTAAGTGAACGGTGAAATTTTTTCTTACCCTCGCCTTTCCAAGACAAATTTTATTGCTTATAACTGGGTTTCCCTTTTTTGCATTGAATTTTTTTATAGGAGGAGTTCCGTATCCAAAGGTGGACGGAAAAGCTCTCTCATCGTTGCTTCAGGAAGGTTACAGAATGCCCAGGCCATCGCATTTAGATACAAAACTGTAAGTTAATGTCAGCTTTCTTTTGTTGTCTTCTTTGCAATTAAGTCATGCAAACACTTATTAGCAATTGCGAAGCTGACCAATTTTACCTTTCGATAAGAACACGATAAGGAGTGCCTACATTCCTTGACTTAATTTATCTTAATCTGAGGCAAGATCACGTGAGCTCTGTTAGACTGCACCAATATATAGATAGATGGAGAAAATCTGGCCACAGATCTGTAAGCATGTAGCCTGCTTAATAATGACAAAAAGGGCATTAATCAGTGATTTTGCGTTCCTAGTATCTCGAGTATACATAAGTAATTTAACAGCTCACTCTAATAATTAGCAAAAGCTCTTATCTAAGAGTACTACTCAGCAGGAGAGTAGACATTACATATGACTCGTACAGTCAGGGGCGTAGCCAGGCATTTTTCCGTTTAAGGCCATGAAGTTAACATTAACAATAACAATAACAATAATGATAATGATGATGATTATTTTGTCTGACACGTTTATATGGCACAAATTTAACCGAGAGCCATATGGCTGGACCGAAAAAGAATGCCATTTCCAGTACTTTTAAAGGAATGTTTGAGTTTTTCAGTATTAATTATTAACCACCAGTCAATAAAATGCAAGTCGTCTTGGCTTGTTTTTGTAAGAATATCACTGATAACTCTTTCCCATGAGTCAATGTGCATCTCTTTATATACGTGCAAGAGGGCTAAGGATGAGAGACGATCTGTTGACATCGAGGATCACATCTACGTTTTTACCCTCCTCGTGGCATTTAGTGATGATCTTTGGCTTCGCAAGCCGTGGCTTCACAAGCGTCTCAATAAATTTCTCATGAAACTATAATAGCAAGCAGAAAAAGAGCAGACGGCCCAGGATAGACGTCCTAATCAAAGGAGTCTGGGAACTGCTCATAGAAAGCGAAACAGCGACACAACAACGTTAGTTCAAGCAATTATAGTAGAGATTCAGAACGGAAAAAGTAAATTTCTCTCTGAGCACGGCAAAAGGTGCTGCCAACAGCAGACTCTTGCTTCTAGAATTGCCCATTTTTAGTTCCATCGAGAAAAATATTTTCAGAGCACTTGTCATGATAACCTGCACTTATTATTTTTGCTCAAATTCCTGTTAAGCCTGGGGTTAATGACTTAAATTAAGGCAGCTACGCCACTCACGGATTCTCTTTCATATAGTTATGACGTCATGAAGTCCTGTTGGGATAAAAAACCTGAGGAACGACCCTCGTTTACAAAGCTCAGAAAAATGATGAAGGCGATGGGCGATGAGAAGGAGGTAACCTATTAGAAAAAGAGACTTTAAATTATGTAGGGTATCAATTTAAAGCGGAAACATAGCCATACAACTTTAGATCAAATAAAAGGAAGGATAATCATTCTATGCAGATTTTTCTTACTTTTCATTAACCCGGGAGCCCACCACGTGACCTGCAAATAACTACTTACAAATAATGGTCTGCTCTCGAGCAATGTCGTCCAACTGTGTTTGGCTGCAAATAATATTCTGCTCATGTGTAAATGCAATCACGCTTTTCTCCGCTCTTTGGTGAAAATGCAAACTTCCCGAATAAATTTATCAAAAAAAACATACTCGGTGACTGAATGATAAAACAATTTTTGAACTCGGTTATCCCAAAATATCGTGATTTGTCAATGTCTCACAGATCAATTATTTGCCTCAGCCGAATAATTGATCTGCCTGCCATTGAAAACAATAATATTTTGCTCAACCTCGTCCAATAACTGGTAATTATTTTGTATCCATCGTTAGGTATATCAGCCTCCATTAGTCTCACTTGTTGACTTTTAATTCACAGTCTTACATCAACCTTGAAGACTACGACACAAAGCTTTACCAGAACCTTGACGAGTTGGATGCTTAGCTTGAATCGAAATTAATTTAAAAGTGTAACTTCAACCAAAGGAGACAAATAGGTCAGGTGTATCTATGAAGGAGTGGTTGCCATAGACGCCGTCAAACCAAACTTCTGTCATATATTATCTCTAGGAAGCTTATACTTAAACGCATTTTTGCCAAATTTGTTGGCATGACATCGAGCCATTTTAGGGCAAAAGTGGCTTCATAATTAATAAATATATAGATTTAGCCAGGGCTAAAAGCGAAGCTCCCATCAATAAATTTATATTTTAAATCAAACAATGAACTTGTAATCCACAAATCAGTTAACTTAAGGGCTCATTCATGTGACTTTTGAGGGAAAGGATAAGTTATTTTAGAGTGAAACATCTTACATCGAGTTGATAGCCTAAATATATGTACACCCAAAAAATGGCAAACATCTTCTATCACATTCAAGAGCCATAATGGCTCTTGATCACGGTAGATTAGGCCTCGAAAACAAATTCTTGGAAAACAAATCAGGCCGCATTTTTTGCGTTCGACAGGTTTACTTTACAAATCCTTGCCAACAAATCTGAGGGTGTGTAAACCAACCTTTTATACTTTTTATACATCACATCTGAGGTGAAACAGTACTTTTTATCATACAGACCTCGGACAGAATACGGCATTTCACAATTTTTCAATGTCCAGGACGATCAATCGTGGGCTTTTAGCGAAACCGTTCAAAAAATTGCCAAAATCACCCATACGTCCAGCCGGTTCTCATTTTTAGTGCGAGCTGTCAGTGTGGTCGAGTGTTTGAATGAACTTTAATGGAGATACGTCTCAACATAATAACGAATTTATTATCATTACTTTTTGTTATTTAATGGTTCCAGCTATAACGATGTGTAATCTTATAAAGCGTTTGATACGTGGGACATTTCTATGTACTCCTGCAAGCGATGTTCATGAACGATGAAAACAAACACCACGGACAAGCGATTAAAATTGCAAGGAGACTACTAACAATCAATAAAAGAAATATAATTCGGTAAAACATTTACAGAGACAACAATTTTCATTCACGAAGACAAGTATTAAAGTGTCTCTAAAAATCCTGAGTCTTTAAGCTTTAATAAAGCTAAAGCTTAAGTTTATTTTGTTTTACTTTCAGTCGGCCTCCCGGTGTTTGTTTTTTTTTTTCAAAGATGAACTCCTCGAAGCAAGAAAATCACTCAAAGTTTTCTTTCTACAGCCAAATTTATAACTAAATATTCTTCGGAACGTTTGTTTTCTATTTGCCGTGAAAAAAAAATCTGAAGGCCTTTTAAAGTCCTGTAAGCTTATATCAAACCTGATACTAGATCAGATCATTGACTCAAATCTTAACAAACGTGCAAAAACTTGCCGCATAAACTGTGCTCGACTTCATGAAATTAGATATAACAAAAACAAACATCAAATACAATAATTACTCAGGCTTACCATTCGAGATTCAGTTCCTGAAAGATATCAAGGAAGGCCATAGTTGCTTGAGACTTTTAAACCCTCTTACGCATTAAGCAAAATGAAAGACGAAAACGATGCCATCCGAAATCGGATTACCCACTTTTAACAAGCGACGCATTTGTCAACCAAAAACCCAATAAACAAACCAGCCATGGATAACAGAAGACTCTTGATAGCAGCTGTATTTCATTTTGTACATCCAGTGGAAAAGACAGTTAAAAACATCACAAGTTGACACAAAACTCTGTCAAAGTAAACAACTTTCAAGATGCTGCATAAATTTTCCGCATGAACTCACCTGTCAAATTTTGACCAATCAGAGTACAGAAATTGGACGTAGAGCGTGACCAACGCGTGACCATGGTAAGAAAAGGTCTTCCCCGCCTTTATTTTTAAAAAAAGTGGCTGAATTTTCGCGTCCGAGGTCAGTTTGAAATCAACATCTTGACAGTGCGGGGCCATAGTGACATAAACACAACATATTTCATATGAATCATTGGAAAAAATAGACTTGAGCCTGCGATCATTTGAAACTGGTAATTTGTCAGCGGATAACTTCAAAAAAGTACTCGACCTCGATGGGTCGACACTTGAGCCCGCGGTACGGTCAGGTGACACTGGTCAGCGGATATCCTGTTTTGACAGCTGTCAATTGATCACAACATTGATGTGCAATTAGTTTTCTCTTGGGCTCCCAAACTAGCTAGAAAGTGTGAGAGAAAACATTGGTTTCCCTGTGGTGCGGACGGACGGTCGGGCGTACGGTCACGTGCTTACCAAATTTTCTCGGATGGGTAGATTACCACATTTCCTTAGCTATGGAGCTCCGTCCACACGCGCGCGCTTCGCTTTGGTTGAATGGAAAGCGCCCATAGTGTTTAAAACCCAGGTGGAATCACAAGGCTAAGAGTATTTTCACATATAGGGTTCCCTTTTATAAGTCTGAGGGGTGGATAAGCCAGAAATTATGTATTATAATATTCACTTAGTTGTAATTCGCAGAGGCAAAAACAAACAACAAACAAAAGAAAATAAAGCAAGAAAAGCGATTAAAAAAATCAATAAACAAAAAGTCGACGGTCTGTATAGTCTGTTTCTTATCCCTCGAAATAAATGGGTTTCTGAGTCATATTTCTCCTTTTCTGATTGGCTCAATCCTTTATTACCATGTATAGTGTTGACCAAATTTGGAAGAGGTTTGCGATGTCCGGTAAAATTAGGACAAAATTAATGCATTAACTGCGTTAAGTGTACGGGTCGAGTTGACTCGTTTTAGGAAGAAATAGCTTACCTTCTGCCTAAAAACATAGCCAAAATGGCAAAAATACAACTCAACGGGTCTATGACGATTTTGATTCGAAGATTATCTGCTAGACTCAGTTAATTTGATTGAGGGCTTTTTCAGGGTAGCAATTATTTTGAATGAGAAATATACAGTCGAACCTCTCCACAACAGGCACCTTGGGGACAAAAGAAAGTGGCCGTCGTGGAGAGGTGGCCATTATGGGGAGGTAGAGATGCAACATGGCCAAGTTTTTTTTAGGGAGTACAACAAGCTCATCGTGCTACGTTCATGCTTACTGTACCCTACAATGGTACATCCAATCATAATCATAATCAAAAAGACCTGAATAATGTTTTGAATCAAAATATTAACGTGAAAAAACGAGCAAGGTTCGCAACATTCGCTATAAGTATCGCAAACAATTTCTGCTTACTACAGCAGCAAAAATAGATCAAAATCAAAGTATGATTGCCGTGATAAACCATCAACGCGCCATATGGTATAAAATTCGAGACCATTCTTGACTTTTTCATCACTTGCTGAAAAAACTGTCCGTTGTCGAGAGGTTATTTCGGCAGTTGGGAACACGCTTTAGTGGCCATTGCCGTTGTAGAGAGGTTTCAACAAGAGCCAATGTATGGATTGTCAGCTGGGACAAAAGTTAGTGGCCGTTGTAGAGAGGTGGCCGTAAGTGGAGGTTCGACTCTAAACAATTATTGGATCGATTTGGCTTTCTGAAGGATACTCTATATTCCAATTCGTCGCGGCCGCTGAATAGAAGCACTGAAGACTCATTTATACAGGGTACTGGGCCTCCCCCTAAAGTAAATATACTACAACTGTGTATTGTTTTAAACTCAAATCCAGGAACCTTTTCGGGTATTTGTGAATATTTTACCTTAGGTCGAATCTGAAACTGAATAAATGAGTCTTCAGTGCTTCTATTCAACGGCGCATGTTCTCGACCTTTCAAATTCTTCGGATAATACTTAGCCTCATCCAATAAATGTTGTAACATTAACGAAGTCAAGTAAGTTGAAAGTTAAAGCACTAAATCTGAATGGGGAAACTTAACCCGCGATAATTTGCTGGCCCTAGTTATTCAAAAGGTGGATAACAAGATCCATTCGATAAATCTACAACCCTGCGGATACATAATGCAGTTTTTTTCACTAATATTTATCAGCTGGATAGTAAATTATCCGGTGAATTGCGCAACCATACAAAATATGAGCAACCGGGGCCTGGAGGACAGCTTCATTTATGGTTGACTCAACCAAAGTGCTTTGCATGCGTTAATTAGCTTTCAATGTCCGCGACATAAAATACTAATAGAGAAGTTGCAGTTTCTGAAGCGACATTCAAGAATTCATTTGAAAAAACAATCTATGGCATTTTTCATAAGAGAATCTGCGTGCGTACATTATTCACGCAAGAGTTGTTGACGTACCAGAGGAAGTTAATTAACAAGTGAGTGCAGTTTGCCGAGTAAGATTCTCATACAACAACCGCAAATGCGTAAATAGCGTGTAGAACACTTTCAGTGCGGTATTGTGTTTATTATATGCTGTATACACTGAGAAGTTCACCATTCTTCCATAGTCTTTAATTCAAATCTGTCCAAACGTAATCCTCTGAGTAATGATTAAAAATTACAGCTACAAATCGAGACATAATAAGGAAAACGATGTAATAAACCTTTCAAAAACAATTAGAAAAAAATGGTTATTATCAAGGCAAGACGAGAAGGGAACACAGGAATCAAAAGCAATCACAGCTTTATTCATTTATTTTTTCTAAACTTAAAGCTAAAAAATGAGTGCAAAATTGGAGGCAATAAATCCCCATGCAGCTTAGGGTCAAGTGACCTATCCCAGAATTATGGGATGCAACCTACTGAGATGGAAAGAGCATAAAACAGTATTAGGTCTACCACCTGTGACATTGAGATTTTATTGTGACTTAACGAACTATACTATATGTTGAAATGCCGTCCGGCAATTTTTTAAAAAACACAACACTCATAAAGCCTTAGACTTATGTGTCAATCTCCTCAAAAAGTAGGTTTTATGCTTTCGTTACCTCCTTTTTTTTTAGTTGTATCCACAAATTTCGCTTGAAGCAGGTCACGTGGCTATGAGCTGCAGGGAGCCTACCTTTCCTAGTTGTCGTATTAAATATACGCATTTAAAATGCTAGCTCTTACAAGAACATACTTTGTTAAAGCATAAGCACTTTCATCTTTGTATAAAGCTCCATGGAGACACAAACTACTACGACGCTCATCCGATTTTATAAGATAACTTTTATATAACAGCCAGGGACCCAAATAGCAGTATCACTACAGCCCCAAGGATGGGATAGTAGCCATTAGAGAGCTTTAGATTCTAAGACAAGAACGACTACTAGTGCGAGATTTTCTTAACAGTAAGTAGTGCTCTTGCGTGAGGCAGCGTCATTTTGGCGGGAAAACGTAGTAGCCGTCGTATTCTTCTACGAGTTTTAGCGCGGAGAGTTTCGTAGTGGCGGGAACAAGTTATCAAATGTAAGAAGTTTTTGCAGATTGCAATCGGGAGAGGTCTCAACCTAATTCAATAACGACGACAGTGCTAACTTTTCTGGTGAAAAAAAGTACAATGAAGAATTCCTGGGTGCCTATTTTATGACAAATACCCGAAAAAACTTTAATCAAATCTCGTACTCGTAGTCGTTCTCGTCCTGGAATCTAAAGGTATCTTTTTTATTAACGGCTCGGTGCGCAAATTAATAAAACGTTTTCCTGGCTAAGTCAGATATCCACAGTCAACTAAGGTTTTCTAATAATAATAATAATAATAATAATAATAATAATAATAATAATAATATATTTTTAAGAAGCTTGTTCCAGATACATCGATGTTTTCGTTAGTTTCTGTTTTGCTTCTTTTCTTGTCTTTTCCTTTACTTAGTTTTGCCTTTTTTCTTTGTAATTTACAAATCATAGACTTATAAGGTACCTCCCCTTTGGGCGAAAATATTTTCTCTTCAATTTAAATGACAAAAATAATTTAAAATTCAATCTGGAAAATTTATTTTTATATTAGTTTGTTTCTATCTAAATCACCCAATTTCTATGCGCAACTCATGGACGGTATTTCGGCCCGAGATTTGGAAAGCTAACTACATTTACATTTACACTTTAAATGGTCAAGACCCCACTTCCCTCTCTCCTTGAGAAGCTAAGGGTGTCAGTACAATACCGACTGGGCGTTAAGGTCGGGGTCCACTGTTTTTTTTTTGTTTACGTAGAGGTACGAAGCCTTCGTAAGCAACATTAAGACCTGTCTCAACTCAACCAAGTAAGTGAGGTAATCAGGGGCAAACGGCTGCTACTATTCAAGCTTTTCTCATTGCTGGTTTCTGAATCATTACTTGAGACAGAGAACGTTTCTTGACACCAAACATAAGTCAACTCAGCCGAAAGGAATATGAGAGAAAGTTCTGCCTTTTACTGAGTATAAGTTGAGAGAGGCCTTTAATAAGAGGCCCAAGGGTGCTCAGCACAATTTGACTGAAATAAACGCTTGGGTTACTCAGTCGTATAATGGTATGCGGTTTACCCGTTGACTGGCTTGTGGGTCTAAAACAATAGCAAATATGTATAGCGTGAAACAAGAACCAGTGACTAATTATTACTAAATATTAACCGTTCGCTCAAAATTTTAGGTGGGATTTAGCTTAGTGGCTGGTAAGCATCCCTAGTGAACTCTAGCTGCTAGTCCCAGTCTTCCACATTTCCATACAAGTTTTCATCGTAGACGTTCATGTAAATAACCTCCTAAAAATAAGACAAAGAGGAAAAAATCCTTTCAGTTCCAATTTTTATATTCATACCTAAATAGGTTCCGGTACGAGACTGGCGAGTTTCCAAATTCTTCAATTGTTTTTTATATTGATTACCTAACGACGTTTCTAACAGGGATGTCAAATAAGTAAATTAAAAAATAATTAATTAATTAATGAAAACACACACAAATAAGTAACAAGTTGTAACTACCTTATGACATTGTTGTAATCTTTTGATCGTCTTGCCTATTGAATCAAAGGATGGTCGGCGCTCAGGCTCGGTTACCCAGCACTGGCACATAAGAGCATAGCTAGAGTGAAAAAAAAAATAATAATAATAAGTTGGCAGACTGCAATGAAGATGGATTGCAGTTTCCATTAACAAAAAATAATTAATATCGTTTAAGACTCTCGAGAAAGGGTGCCGGCAAACGCCCTTAATGGCAGTTTGTAGTAAAAAGATTGAACGTTTACACTGAAAGTGAAATGAGAACTAGCCTGCGAAAACATCCGTTTCTCCTCGCTCTTCGCCACTAGGGACGTTTCGCGAGGAGGAACGTCTGCGACTCAGCGACAGAAAGTCCATACTGATGACGTAACATCTGTCCGGAATCCGGTCAGAAGCGCTGATTGGTCGACGGAGTAGTTACGTTGTTTTAGCTATTGTTTACGAATGACAGACAGAAGACAAAAGGCCACAAAGGTCAAATGTAAACGCGAAGAATCACGAGCAAAACAGTCAATATTTGTGGAATATACTCTTCTCTAGAAGAAGCGTTTGAGTTTTGCTGGAGCTCGTTAGGAGATGAACACAACACTGTACCAAAATCAACCAGAAGACACGTAAGAACTGAACAAATTTGTATTTGAAACCCCTTGACTACCGGACTATTTTGTAAACATTGATTTGCGTCATCAGTACGGATTTTCTGCCGCTGAGTCACAGACGTTCCTCCGCGCGAAACGTCCCCAGCGTCGAAGAGCGAAGAGAAACGGATGTTTTCGCAGGCTAAATGAGAACATGAAGTTGAAAATTAATTCAATCGCAAAAAATGGAGTTTCTTGAAATAAATAAAAATAATTAACAATTGAAGCAATAATAGGCAGATAAAAAAATAAGCAACAAGTACAAAACAATGACAATCCAATCCAAATACTAACTATGGCAATAGAAACAACAACATTAAGCCCGTCGGCTGGCCATAAACAAATGAAGGTTGTACTTACATATCATCATCCAAGTGGGCAGGCTTCGGCATTCTGTAGTTCTCTTTTAGCAGATACGGAAGACGATGTGCCTGGAGATTGGGATATGGCTTACCACCTAAAAAGCATGCATACTTTATAAATGGGCTCTACAAAGGTGTTGAAAGTGTCGATTGAGTATTTCAAATGCCATCATCTCAATTCAGGTAATTGATTTCGATTATAAACGCCTATACCAGAAGAGTCTTTCTTTCGCTTGCCCGATAACTATCCAGGGAAAAGAAAAAATTGCGTGGAAAGAGTAGCAGGTGGATTTTTCCCCAAAATGATTGAGTAGGTTTTTTAAATAGAACTTTGGCTAGATTGGTCAGAATTTCGAAACAACGTTATCCCTACAACGGATCTATGCATCCTAATTCGTTGCTCACCAACTTAATCACTTGAACTGAAAGCTAACTCGGTTCATAAACACAGATCTACATTGCTGACCATTTGACCCGATCCATAGGGGCTAAAGTATCTAAAAATGTAGAACTGAACATGTGAACGACAAATATAATCTTAAAACTACAACGGTTAAAAGAACGTGACATGCGATCTTACCTATCGTAAAAATTTCGTACAGCACAATGCCATAACTCCAGCTAAAAGAAAATACATGAAACAGACAAGGCAATTAACAAACGCTTGAAGCCGTTAACACTGAGCCCTGTGCGCCAGCAAATTAATTTAAGAGCACAAAAGGAATTCTGACTGGTAGGCTTTGCTGTGTTTTCCGTAAACAGGCCCTTCAGGTGGCTCGATTTGATTTTCAGGGCCAATACCTTCCAAGTTAGACCAGGAACTCTGTCGGCATTCACAAGGATATGGAAAAACGATTACAACAGTATGAAAATTTATTATGAGCAATGTTATGTTGACATCGAAGTCGTCGAAGCAACGAAATGACGTCATTATCTATTTTACTTTCAGCCGTATTTGGAATTTTCTTTTTACACAATCACTTACGAGTACTTACGAGAGCTTGATCATACAATAACTGCCTCAATGTTCGTGATGTTTGAACAACATCTGTGAGAGTATTTTGGAGATGCTTCGTTGAAGTTTTTATGCCTCTAATTATTATCACTTTTTAAACACTTTAGAAATGAGTTCTTAATTTAAAAAAAGAAATGGAAAGTTTAAAATTAATTTCACAGTATTAAACTGTGATGAGAAAAACTTACACATCACTCGCTGAAGTACATAATCCGTAGAGCAGCGACTCCATTGCGGTCCACTTCACTGGCAAGCGGCTCTACGATATTCAATTTTTAGTACATTAAGGTGACTCGACCCAGTATTTTTGGGGGGTACCATCCTACTTTGAAGCTCTCTGGTATCCCCACCTTTACTTTTATCGTAAGTCTAACACATAGAATGGATAACATATAGATCAATCTACAATATAACATAAAACTTTTGGCGATCGGAGTAAATGTCACGTGGTTATAATGCCACGCCCCTTTGAGGTCTGAGTCGAAAATCTGCTGTTGCCGGCATTTTCTCGTAAAAATCTCTCGGCTACACATAGTGCGCATTAGTGCCTTGCGCTGAACAGAGTTTCACCAAAATCGCAAAGACCCAATTCGAGAAATTCAGCGGTTTCCAAATTTAGGTCATAATTTATGCGAAAATGATAAGCAAACTTTCCACGGATTATATCTAACAAACTATGGGATTCATCTCTTTATTTTGGGCATCGTTATAACAGATGGGTCCTTGCAAGTCAGCAAAACAATTTAGCGCCTTGTAAATCCGCGCGATTTCGAGCAAAGCAAACATATAGAAATTATAGTTTTCGCTATTTGTTGACGTTTGTCAGCGTTTAAGAGTCAATCTCAGGAAAAAAGCATTTTCTTAAAAATTCGTAGTTTTTTTTCCTTCAAATTTTTTCAGGGCCACAATTGATTAACTAACTACCCAGACTCTGAATTTCATGGTCATTGAAAAACTGCGACATTATCTTCTATAAGCCCAAACTTGAGTAAACATTGAAGATTTTTAGTGTTTGGCTGAGTTTGTGCTTTCGGTGTTGTCTATTGTTTCTAGTCTGTCATGATACAGCATTCTTGTTCAGCACGCGTGCAATGACCGCGCTTGGCTGACTTCCGAATACGATAATTTTGGTACAGTGAGACAGGGCATCGCGTGATACATAGAGGTTTAACTCACAATTTTTAATCAATTCTCGTGCTTCTTGTGCCTTTGCAAAAAAATCAAGAAGTGCTACACACTAAATCTACTTACTATTAAAAAAATATCATTTTTTCATAGGTTTAATGCAAGCCAATAATTAAACCAACTCGTGACGTGAATGAAGTACGTTTATCGCAACACCTCGCGACGCTGTGAGAGGGCAGAGGTATGAATAAACTGAAACCAGCCAATAGGTAAAAAAAATATGGTTAAAAGAAACAAAGAAACAAACAAAAACAAAAAACAACACGACCAAAAAAAGAGAGCGCCACGTGACCAAATGGTTAATGGCTATGTTAAATCAAGTTATTATCTTTAACGCTCTTCCCGTGAAATTCTGCCGGTAGACGCTGTTTGAAGCTGGTGGAGCTGCAGGGTTTTGCCGATAAAGCCCTAATTTACTGCGCTTTTTGAAAACACGCGAATTCTGAAGTTCAAACGCCAACTGACACTCACCTTAGCGGTCCTCTTACGAAACTGTAGTTTACTTCAACAGGTTCAAAAGGTCATGGTTTGTGATTGGTGGATTTCGATCAGTTTTGTCTGTTTCTGTATTAGGGTCCGTTGCTTGTGATCGTATTTATGATTGACGGCAGGGAAAAACGCAGTTGGGAAGGCGGCTTTTGAACTTCAGAGTTCTCGTGTTTTTGAAAAGTGCGGTAACTGATTTCATCGCATTTGAAGAACATATTCCCGACAAAGCCGATAATTATCTCGCAAAACCGTTGCGAAGTCTCTCGGTTAGTTGCTGACGGCGTTGAACAGTTTTCAATTTCTCGTATTTGCATGAAGAGAATCGGTCGAGGTACACCAACAGTAAACATATCTTTTTCCACAGAGGATGAATAAACATGTCAACCTTTTATGAATAAAACACGATAGAGCACCCAAGTGGACGTTGTGTAGCTTGAAAACCTCAATGCAACTCGACGTCATGGGGAGATAACTACCCACGGACGTAGAGGGACTACCAACCCGAAGTCAAGATATATAAATATATATGTTGTGGTTCAATTTTATACTTGGTTTAAATTTAATTTCCTTTGTTTTGGGGTATAATTATGTATGATTATGAGTTTGAAACAAAGGCAATTTTATTTTAAACTAAGGATAAAATTGAACCACAACATATAGCCAACTCGTTTTTCTACCCCGCTGTGCGTCCCACGCACGTTCCAAGCACGTTCCACGCGCAAAGCGAGTTTCGACAAAATTCACAGTATTAATCTCCGGCCTCTAAAAGAAAGTAATTAAGCTTCTTTAAGTACTTTTGAATCGAAAGAGATATATTAACAGAGACGGACATGTATGTTACTGATTACCACCACCAACTGGCGGGCGCCGTCGTCTTGTAACCACCTGCACTAAACAGTAAACAATGTTTTTAATAGAATTCTCTCGATCAGAAGTAGATCCAAGTTCTCTAAGTAATGAAAATAAATATCACTACTCCGGGATACAAAACATGTACAAGAAAGGCAACGTAGAATGGTAAGTTTTTTCCGCAATTTCAGAGTGAATTTCACCGCGGTGCATAAATTATTGTAATAATCAAGCTGTTTAAAAACGTTTGACGCACAACAAAAACAATTAGTCATTTACCGTTTTATCCGTTCTCGTTAAATAAGACCCTTACCTTTACTTTAGATTCTTGATGGAAGAAGTCTATTCAGCCAGCTGAAGTCATGCAGTTTCGTTAATTTTCAAATCAAATTATAGCGTGATTTGTCACGTAATGTTATGGTCACGTGGCTATACTACGTAACCCGTCGGCGGCCAAAATCTTTGTGATAAACGAAATTTCTGTTTCTCTTCAGAAAAAAAAATACCCTAATTGAATGAGTTTTTCCTCCTTAAATTGCACAAAACGCGTATCACACCGAGGAATTTGTATTGGTAGAGTCATTATCTTCACGACATGGACTCCGCCCTTTCATATTTTCAGGCCCGGCCCGCATAGAGGGGGTAAGGGTTGGGGGCAGTGGGATACCACTTCACCCACTTTTGTCCTCATAAGATACCAATATAGCTAAAGATTTGTAAAACGCTTGATACCGAGTGCCTGAGATTACCTTGAAAAAGAATACTATATACCTAAATACGGTATTTCAGGACTGAGACAGACCGTCCAATCTTTTTTATTTATCAAAAAAACTAGTATTAGAGTCCAAGGACAAGGAGCGAGCCGCTACGGGCGGTGTAAGGCGGCATGCTCCCCCAGAAACGTCATTTCTAGTGTTCTTAGCCTGCGTAGCAGGCGCTTGGAAGTAGTGGGTGCAACAAAGAGCGGGTGTCTGCGCGTGTCTCACTCTCGCGCGCCCGTTCTTTCTTGCGCCCACTACTTCCAAGCGCCTGCTACGCAGGCTGTAGTGTTCTGAGAGAACAATTTAAGTAAAAGATGTTGGTAAATCGACTGAAAAATACTGTGAATATTAAATAAAGAAAGAAATAAAATAAATAAATAAATGATGTTTAATCACAGTTTTACAAGGTCCTGCCTTTTTTCATTGTGCTCATACAGAGCTCACTGCGCCTGTCCTCAGGTCTAACGACTCTAGCAAATTGTAAAGCTTCCAAAGGTATATTATCCTTAAAACTCGCAATTGGACCCGCTGTATTTTACTAGGCAGATGGGCAGGAAGGGCGTTATATCAAGCCGCGCAACAGTGTACTCTAAGACGGAACGTAAGAGAGCAACGCAGATAGCCGCAAGGTCCACTGCACCGTTTTCCTGGGAAACACTTCCCCACCCCCCCCCCCCTTTCTAGAACCTTGGGCGAACGAACTGTTTCGAGTTCCTTTTGATCAATTTGTAAAGGGGGTAGCTGAGGACTGCTTTACGAAACACAACCGTGGTCCTTTACACTTTTTAGCATTAAGCTTCATCAAGAAAAATGGAAATTGACAGTAGCACTTCTTATTTTTTCTTGGGCTTCTCTCGGGTGGCCCATCAGATCCTATAACAAGCACTGGAATATATTCTTTGATATTTTGAAACACTGAAAGCGACTTGGACTGGAACAACGGTACTTCATACAGGCTTCATCAAGCAATATTGGTGCAATTTCGAAGAAATCGAGATTATTAGACAGTTTGCTGAGAAACAACACACCCAGATAAACTGTATAACTTTCGGTTCACTGCAAGTCGGTCATGCGAGTCTAATCCGGCAGATTCCCTATTTTGCCAGCCCATGCGAACTTTTGGTGAGCATATTTCGATCACTGTGACAACGTATATTTACATAAAAAAAATTGTGTCTTAATATCAAAACTTTAGACAAAAAAATAATTTATATCCTTATCGTGACACTAAAGTTCCGTTAACCTGAACAAAATTGAGCCCGGATACCTGAAAACCCAAAACCCCCGGCCAGGTCTCCCTTCTTTAGAACGTCAAAATCACGAAAAATCACCGGGATGTCAACAAGATGTCACATTAAAATACTCTACATGCAAACTACAAGACTCCCTGTAGGTGCATTTTTAAAGACTATTGCATCGGTTCTTTGGAAACGTTTTTGTCGTACTAACTATTTTGGCCTCTTATTTGAGACATTCTAAGTTGACAGCATAAGGGATTAGAGACCAGGCATCACAGGCCACCCACGAGGTTCCTAATCTCAGCTGTTGCACATGCGATTTCACTTCTTTAAGCAACAAACTTGAAAAAAGGAATCAAATTTTGCTCTAAAAATTATGCTTTGCAAAGCCCGAGAAATGAATTCTCATGTGCAACAATTACAATATTAGCGACCTTTGCTCGAAGCCTGGTTAGCGCTAACCGTTGGTTAAGAGGTATCAAAATGTATAGGTTTCCGTGGTATTTAACGCTGGTTAGCACTAACCATGCTTCGAGCAACCCGGGCCTGGCAGGTTGGGGCAAAACTGTTGGTAGGTCACCTCCTAATCCTTTACTCTGTACGTGAAAATAGTAATTACAAGAAACTGGTTTGAAATGAACGGATAAAAGAGGGTTCAAAAAATGCACCTAAAGCCAGCCTTACACCTCGTTGGCATGCTGCTTACGTGATTTTTTGAAAACGTTTTAAAGGAAGGGATTAATATAGCCTGCAAGACGTATTTTGCTGTGCGATCGATTTGAACTTTCGACTGACCGAGAGTTGGGGCGAGTCAAAAAATGATTCCAAGGGAGAAGTTGCCTGCCCCTCCTCATCGGGTCGCGCGTTAAAAAAAAAAAAAAACGCCTGCTCTGCATGCAGGCTAGGATTAATAAGACCGGAGGTACCATGCCGTAAAAAATAATGAGCCATTACCAATACAAATTCCTCGGTGTGATACGCGTTTTGTGCAATTTAAGGAGGAAAAACTCATTCAATTAGGGTATTTTTTTTTCTGAAGAGAAACAGAAATTTCGTTTATCACAAAGATTTTGGCCGCCGACGGGTTACGTAGTATAGCCACGTGACCATAACATTACGTGACAAATCACGCTATGATTTGATTTGAAAATTAACGAAACTGCATGACTTCAGCTGGCTGAATAGACTTCTTCCATCAAGAATCTAAAGTAAAGGTAAGCGTCTTATTTAACGAGAACAGGTAAAACGGTAAATGACTAATTGTTTTTGCTGTGCGTCGAACGTTTTTAAACAGCTTGATTATTACAATAATTTATGCACCGCGGTGAAATTCACTCTGAAATTGCGGAAAAAACTTACCATTCTACGTTGTCTTTCTTGTACATGTTTTGTATCCCGGGGTGGTGATATTTATTTTCATTACTTAGAGAACTTGGATCAACTTCTGATCGAGAGAATTCTATTAAAAACATTGTTTACTGTTTAGTGCAGGTAGTTACAAGACGACGGCGCCCGCCAGTTGATCGTGGTAATCAGTAACATGCATGTCCGTCTCTGTTAATATTTCTCTTTCGATTCAAAAGTACTTAAAGAAGCTTAATTACTTTCTTTTAGAGGCCGGAGACGAATTCAAGTGCCAAAAGAGGCAATTTCATAGAACTTTTAACCTGTACAATCGTGACATCTGACACGGCCAGTAATTATGCAAATACCCAAAATGGCAGATTAGTAATCTACTGTTGGTTGCAATCCCAGAAGATACCCGCAAGTCTGAGCCTATAAACGAAAAAAATAAGCTTAAAACTTTACTTTCATATGATTTTTAAACCAGATTTAGGCCGCAACTTTTGAGATATTTTCCCTTAAATCTTCGTTACTTTCAGGGTTTGGATTAAGCCTGCAAAATAGGTATTCTTTTTAACTCGCTCCTCGAGGAATAAGCAAAATATAAGAGTCGCAAAATTTCTGATTGAACTGGGGTGGAGGTCAAGGGACATTATGCCGCTGTATTTGCTTGAAATACTAGCGATTTGAACTTAATAAATGTGTTTGGAAGTTACTAAGGCCCTGTTTAGTATTTACATCAGTTTGTTGTTGTTTTTAGTTAATAGTTACTCTTCATCGAAGGTTGCTTAAGTTTACTATGAGAACTTTGAACAATACTGTCCATTTAATTTTAAGTCAGCATTCTCAACCTACCTTGGTCCGTTTCTGATAAATATCAGTTTGTTGCACATCTCTCGCCATTCCAAAATCTGTTATTTTACAAATTTCTTCTTCACCTACAAGCACATTTCTTGCTGCTAAATCTCGGTGAATAATCTGCAGAAAAAAAGTACATTATACACTTAATGTCAGTTCCCGAGGGAAACAGTTAGTTTTGTTTTGGCGAGAGTCCTGATGTTTCCCTCGACTTCGTCTCGGGAAACTCACAGGACTCGAGGGAAAACAAAACTAACTGGTTTCCCGAGGGACCTGACATTTTAAAGCGTTTTGTTATATTTCTAGACTTTCACTTCAACAACAACGAAAGAATAACTGGAGCGAACCAAAACAGTCGACTCGGTACTTATAACAACACAAATTTAATTGTCAAAACCACTGTATGAATGATTTACAAAGTACTTTCGTTTTATTACCTGCATCATTTTCCTCCACTAGCTACTTTTTTTTTTCTGGGAATTTCTGGGATAACTTTAAAAATCGTTGCTTTTTAGCTTGAGGCTTCTTGTTTGTGTTGTTGTGTTCATTCGCGAAAAAGAAAACTGGCAGGACCTGGCAGTGTTTTTCCCGCCTTCTGTCACGCCACTTTCCACTATGCTTTGATCACGTGCTGTAATGTAGCCCGAGCGGCGTACATTGCTTAATGTATCACGATCGGGATACATTTGATTTTAGTCAAGGCCACGTGACCAAGAATTAACCAATGGCAGTCCCTGTTTAGTTGAGTGAAATCTGTTCGGTCATCATAGGGCAACTTGAGTGTTTTCGAAATTACACGGGCTTCAGTTTTATTTCCCGAAAATTTTAGATGCAATTTAAAGCTTTACGAAAGAAAAAAAAAATTTCTCTGATTCCTCTCTCTATCGCATTTTCGAATCAGAAAATTTTAGGTTTTCTTTTACTTCGGAAAATAGCTTAACCTGGGCAGTGAAATGCGAAAAATTTAACTTCGGAAAATTGTCGGGAATTTATAAGATAAGCTTCGAAAAACGTTCATCCGGAAATTTTTAGTCTTCCTCAAGCTATAGAAAATTCTAGGCAATTTTTGCCTCTCCAAACAGATATTTAACAGAAAACAGTAATAAGGTGCCCTTGAAAAAAGTTAATAACCACCATAGGAAGGTACAGTAAGTTGCTGAAAGTTTAGGGGACGGAACAGACGGAGTCTACCTATGAAGCACGGAAGCTGATGAGAGGAATTACTAATATGCCACATCGTTGCTAACCAACAGTACAGCCTGCATAACATCCGCTTATCACAAATACTTGTTTTTGCATGCATGCACCGGCCTGGGTCGACAGAGAAACTCGTCAGCCTCATATCGAGCTAGACATGTCCCTGCGCCAGCGTTGAAACGAATAATGCAATAAAAATAACTGCATACGCTAGTTTATATTTGACAATCACGACCTTTTAACCCCGCAGTGAGTTTGGGTCAAACGTCCACATTTCGTAGCTAAATTACATGTACATGGTGTATATGCCGAATTTATATATACACACTCAGTGATCTTGGTGATTTAAGCAATCTGATTGGTTCGCTATTTCGGACTATTCCACAATATTCACCTCCTAGCGAGTAGGTAATGTGTCAGCTAGGGGTTTTTCCCATATTTTAAGAGAACGATCTTTAAGAAGTCAACAAAATCCTAGGGTTGACTTTTTTAAGGCAAGAGAAGACTTCGAAGGATTCAAAACGGCGTTTTTCTATTTACTGTAGGCGAGTTTTGTTCTCGATGGGTGGTTTACAACTCCCGTTTATTCGCGTAGAAGAGGCCGTTTCGTGGACTCAGCGTTTCCTAACAAGAAAAATTTGGCCCAAAAATCGAACTTAATCTATGACAAACAAATTTGAAAGCAAATGTTTGCAGAAAATTCTACGTTTCAAGTAAACAGGAAAAAGAATGCCACATGAAGACAACGTCTTACCTCGTGCAACCGAGCCGCCATTTTTGTCAGCACTTCACGCGAAGAACGACACAGCAAACGCTGAACAAAGCTTACTGGCTATAAACTTGGAGAGCCAAAAGGGAACAACAAAGCTCTACTTTTCTTCTCGGGTAAGGAAACCATTCAAACTTTAAACGGTTCCATTTAAGCCATTACGCTCTTGTTTGCGAAGTGATAACCTTAATTTTGAAAAATCTACAAAGATCTATTTATAAACTTTTGCGTGATTTGATCCGTCAATCAAATCGTACTTTTTAATGGTTTCTCTTCTGATTTTCTTGAGATCACTTTGTGTGTATATACTAAAACAATTATTCTTTTCAATCTCGGTGAATAGTGGTTTTAATTACAACAACCACTCTTCACCTCGAGTTTAAAGAAAAATGGTTAAGAGCGAATGCACAGAAAAATCGAGCAAACCGTGGCCACAGCTCAAAACCTAACCTACCCTCATTTTCAGTCTGTAATAAGGTTTTAATGAGTTTATAACACTGCTGAGGTTTAAATTTCAAAATGCGGCCGAATTTGGGAATTATTTGAGATTTTCGATTTCAACGGTCTGCGGCCTCAAATAAGCCGCCGGACACGGCAATGCAGCCTAGCGACAGAAATGAGCTGACTTTCATAAACGAGCGAATATATTGGCAATCTTCCACTTAAATCTCAAAAAACAGATATCTAACAATTTCTAAACAGCACATTTTTTTAGATTTAGAGAATAAAATATCGACGAACGACCACAATTTTGAAACGTAATTTGCATAATGCTTCTAAATACAACAATTTACCTCTAAAACCAAAATCGAATTTTCTATATGGGGAGATTCTCTAAATCACCCCAAATCCCGCTTACTACCTAATGAGATATAGTACTTCAGAGTTTGACTGATAGTCGCGGGTCGCGGGTCGCGGGTCGCGGGTCCAAAGTCGCGGTCGCGGGTCCAGTGTCGCGGTCGCGGGTCCAATGTCGCGGCAGGGGAAAATGATTTGGCGTTCGAGGTAACAGCTGAGTGAAAACGACTGATATGAACACAATACCGCGACTTTGGACCCGCGACCCGCGACCCGCGACTATTAGTCAAACTCTTCGAGGGAGAATTATTTCTTGATGTTATTCTGATTTCGCAGTCACGGGAAAACAGACCTAGACTCAGGTCCACTCGCAGACGCCATGCTGCAATCTACAAGATCTCACGAACAGAAATTACAAATTGAACGGCCTCTCCTTTTGAAGATTGCGTGTATTTCATTAAAACAGGTACATATTAAAAGAATCTTGTTAGTTTCTCCCTTTTAACGAGCTCAAATCGACGTGACGTGCACGTGTCAATTGATCCTGGCGTCAATTAGCAGTTGTTTGGGGCGAAATAACCTCAAAATAATCAGTCTATTTTACAAGCGTTCGCAAGAACACCAGACTAACTTTCAAATAATGTTCTCAAACTCATTAATAATTCATAAAGAAAATTCAAAGGAAATTAATGTTTAATGAGTGTTTGGATATCGGATGAAAAACTGCTCATTTTTGCATCCTTAATTTCTCCTTCAAAAATGATTTTGTTTGAGAAGAAATATCAAACATTCGACACAGTATTTCATCACCAGATGAAACAACTCGAAGTTCGTCAAAAATACTCCGCTACGCGTCGTATTTCAACTCTCTTCTCGGTGTTTCATCTGGTGATGAAACACTGCGTCTCATGTTTGATATATTACTTGAAGTACTATATCTCATTAGGTAGTAAGCGGGATTTGGAGAATTCCCCCATATAGAAAATTCGATTTTGGTTTTAGCGGTAAATTGTTGTATTTACAAGCATTATACAAATTACGTTTCAAAATTCTGCTGGTTCGTCGATATTTTATTCTCTAAATCTAAAAAATGTGCCGTCCAGAAATTGTTAGATATCTGCTTTTTGAGATTAAAGAGGAAGATTGCCAATATATTCGCTCGGTTATGAAAGTCAGCTCATTTCTGTCGCTAGGCTACATTGCCGTGTTCGGCGGCTAATTTTAGGCCGGCAGACCGTTGAAATCGAAAATCTCAAATAATTCCCAAATTCGGCCGCATTTTGAAATTTAAACCTCAGCAGTGTTATAAACTCATTAAAACCTTATTACAGACTGAAAATGAGGGTAAGTTAGGTTTTGAGCTGTGGCCACGATTTGCCGATTTTGCTCGATTTTTCTGTGCATTCGCTCTTAAATAGTTAAGGTTCTCATAACCAGTACAACAGAGCGCTTGGGTCTTTTGGTACCTTGTTGGCTGCAAGAAATGCCATGCCATCAGCTATTTCCTGCGCAAACCTAAGAAGCTGCTGTGATGTGAGTGAACTTGACGGTTTCACATCCGGGTCTTTGTAGTATTTGTCATCAAGGCCTCGGCTTCTTCTCAGGAATCCCAGGAGATCTCCGTAAGGTATGTATTCAAACAACACCATAATTGGGTCTAAAAAAAGAGCAGAGAGAGCGGGGATTTTCATCTTTTAAAGACGCGAGATGAACAAGTTCCATAACCAAGATGTTGGTAATGATGAGTTCATTATTATGTCTAATTTTAGTGAACGTATCGTAATCGGTTTTAAAGTTATAGAGCCACCACCTGTCGTAGGAAGATTATAAGGTTTGGATACCGGGATTTAGATGCTGTAAGGATGCACTCTTAGTAGCATAAATATGTTGCATAGATACAAGCATAGCTTGAAATTGGATGATTTTTTATGTGGACTGCGTGCATGATCTTCAAAATTGGCAGGTATTGGATTCAATAATGTCACAAATTTTGAATAGAATGACGACTTGTCATATAATGACTATCCGATACAAAAGAGGAGAAACCTATCCATACGGACACAGTTTTCTTTAGGGAAAATTCCCTTGGTCTCAAAGACATGGAAAGACCCAACTGAAGCAACACGGACACCTCTGTGATGGGCATGTGGCCTTGCCTCTTTGCTGTCTGCATTTAAGAGGTTTGACAGTTTCTTCATAGCTTACACGAAAGACACAATATTTGATTGAAAGCCATTGGACGATGTTCCGAGATTGAGATGTGTCAATCAAGGGGTCGCAACTCGCCTTCCATAAAATAACGCACTTTTAAATCAGTAATAATATCGGGAAAAAAGAGAAAGTTTTACCAGAGAGTGTAACGGCACCCATAAGCCTTATGACGTTCGGATGGGGCTGCAGCTGCTTCATCAGTTCATACTCAGCCAAGAGATCTTTCTTGTTAGAGTCCGGGGCTTTTTCTGACTCGAAGGAGAAAATTAAGACGCAATCCATCAGGAAATTAAGTAAATTCAATTTTCAGTGGACAAAAACCTTGTACCAGAGTAATTTAAACAATATCGCAATGCTGTTTACATTTTTCAAGGGCTGTAGATATAATTAGTTACCCGTAATGACACCAAAGACTATTTCTTATGGGAGCCTGAGAAAATAAATGTCAAATTTCACAAGAAATTGTGAAAACACAGGTAGAATTCTGAAAATTTAATGTGTATAGTGTCGTTTCGTGAAATTTAACATTTCTTTTCTCAGACTCTCATAAGAAATTTTCTTTGGTGTTATTACAGATAACTAATTACATTTATAGCTCTTGAAAAATGTAAAAAGGAATGCGACATTGTTTAAATTATTCTGTTACAAGGTTTTTGTCCACTGAAAATTAAAACTACTCAATTTCCTGGTGGATTCCGTCTTAAAGTGTAAGTAATAATAATTATAATCTCATGTGGCAGAGTTTGCTCTTTTGTTCTCCGTATGGCTCGCCTCTGCGATTCAAGCACTACGACGTTTTACAACTTTCCACTAACATGGAGGAAAAAGGAAGCACACTCCTCGGCTAAAGCAGTACGATTGAATCACACTGTTACGATTTCAGCGCTTCCAAATGATTCTCAAAGTGAAAACAAAGATTATAAACTTTTGACATGGACCAGTGAGGGGAAATCCGTCGACACTACTGGAAAGAGCGCATTAGAATCAGTTAAACTTGCCAAGTGTGAAAGTGAAACGTCTTAAGAGAGCAAAGATATAGCTCCGCAAAGTTGCTGAATTTTACCGACGTTGGTATGGTTGGGGTCAAGTTTGTGCCCCCACCATATAGATGTCTGTAAAATGTCGCGACTTTTAAACCTTTAGGCCCTGAGAGTCATCAGCATCAAATTTCTCCTTGAATATCAATGCTTTGTAGAACAGAGTGGTCATGAGAATCACGGACATGATCACTCAAGATGAATTTGCTTGATATTTTATCAAATTCTGTCCCTACTTCTGTAGCAAATAAATAGGGGCAACAAATGAGAATTCAAATTTTGATTTCAGGGTGTGAAGGGTTAAGAAGATATATCTTCGTTAGTTTTCAACAAATCACTTTCCAGCGGAATCGATGGATTTTTTCTAACTTGTCCATGTAAAAAGTTGAAAAAAAAAGGGTGCAAAGATCAATTACAGCATGTGGAATATGATTTGATTCCTGAATAGGACTGATGTTGACAGCGACTGACATGGTCACCATCAGATCTAGAGCCAAAGTGAGCTGTGTCTCTTCAGATGGGTCGGTTTAATGCCATCAACTGACAGGGTACAACTCCATTTGGTTCTGAAGATGAATACTGCACAGGTGTGTAAAGCCAGTCATTATCAATAACAATTTTATTCAGGCCTACACTCACCCGAACGATTACTTCTAAGATGACCACAGGGTTCAAACCACTAAAAGAAAAGATTTTAACTTGATATACCTTTTGGAATTTTCACAGCCACGGTCCCAAGTCCTTCAGCGAACGCTTTAGCCACGACACAGAATGCACCTTTGCCAACATATTTCTGAATATGAACTTTGTCCCGAGGAAATTCCCAGCCAGATGATTTTTCATCTTCGGTAGAGGACGAGACATTAGTGTATATGGCGAGTGATGAAGGGTTTGGTGCCGCGAGCTCACTCTCTCTTGGTCGAGTTCCGTTTCGTTTCGGAATTCTTGGAGGAGGCACCTGTTGTCAATGGAAGTTTTAGTACTTCGAATTGGAGGACACCGAAAAGCAAGGTACTTTGATACAGTCAACGTCTTGTGGAGGACAGGAAATCAAGGAAACTCAGAAAAATATTAACAGTCCCTAGCTACAATAATGGAAAAACGTCTCAAAACAAATTCGCCATTGTGGCGCCTTCTTTTAAACTAGTCATACCCATTTCCTCCTCTCCCCCCTCCACCTCACATATAAGGATGAACCCGTGTATCTTAAGCTTTGTGTGGGGTGGAGGAGAGGGTTAACTGCGAGGCATTTTCGAAAAAAAAAAACTCTTAAAAATACAGGTCGTTAAGATTATTGTATGACTATCCCAAGGTGGGCAGCCCAAGGGAGATGCATTTGACTTGAAAATTTGTTTTCTGATCAATGTCCCCATCTCCGTCCATGGTTCCCACGCCCCCTAACGCAGAGCATTGATGGGTGTATAACATGTGAATCCGACACGCGTGCTCTTCCTACTGCCCAGGCTTTATAATAATAATAATAATAATATTTAATACTTATATTGCGCTTTTTCTATAAAAATACTCAAAAGCGCATTACAATATTATTAATAACTAAATTAAAAACCAGTAAAATTACCCGGTAAAATTACAATATTTAAAAATAAATAAATAAATAATCTAACTAAAAGCCTTCTTAAATAAATATGTTTTAACAGAGCGTTTAAAAGAGTCGATTGATGTTTCCTGTCTTATTGGCAGAGGAAGACTGTTCCATAAAAAGGGGGCAGCCATCGATAACGCGCGATCTCCCAAAGTCTTCTTCGTTCTTAGCCGAGGTCTTTCTAGCAATATACCATTATTGTTACGGCGTAGCTGGTAACGTGAGTCCGGTAAGACAGAGACAAGATCCTTAAGATAGCTAGGCGCAACACCGTGAAGAATCTTAAATGTAACAAGGAGAATCTTAAAATCTACGCGCAAGCGCACTGGTAGCCAGTGGAGTTCTCTTAGCAAAGGAGTAACGTGACAATACTTAGGTGCGCAGTAAACCAATCGAGCACTGGCATTCATGACTCTTTGAAGTTTCTTAATTTGATACTCAGGAGCACCGTACAATAAACCATTACAGTAGTCAAGCCTGCTTGTGATGAACGCGTGAACAAGCCTCTCGGTGGACTCACGAGACAAATACTTCCTAATGTGCCGGATATTGTACAAATAATAAAACGCGCTAGCACAAGTCTTAGACACATGAGTCGACATGTCCAGATTAGAATCGAACCAGGTGCCCAAATTGCGCACTGAAGAGGCAGGCGATACCTCAGCTAGGCCGATCGTGATCTCGTCAACGGACACCTTTGATAACTGTCGTTCCGTGCCAATGATCAAGAACTCAGTTTTGTCGTCATTTAGCATTAACTTATCATCTCTCATCCATGCGCGAACGTCACGAATACAGTTCTCAATCGCAATCACAGCATCAGCCTCGCTTTAGTCTTGTTTCCAGGGAACCCTGGAAACGAGGTTGCAACTGATATGCACTAGAATGAAAGTCCAGTAAATAAATGCTCAAAAATTGCGAACACAGGCACTGTACAAGGAAACCTGGCTGAATCTGAATCAAACTTCTTTAACTGACAGTAACAGAACTTATATGTAATTCAAAAGATAATTTACTTTTGAAAAAAAAAAATCAAATAAATAAATAAACAACACAATGTCCTGGAAATTATCAGAAGTCACTGCCTAAGCGCTGTAATGATACATCAACCCCAATGCAATTAAAAAAAAAATTCCAGAGAGAGGTAGTATCGTGAATGCGTCAAGCAAAAAAATTGAAAGGAGAATAATTTTCCATGCGCACACTCAGTTACTATATATATTGGTTAAAGCTATAACGACAAAACGTCCTTACCGCGTTGTAAGTGTTGTGTTGCATAGTGCTTGGAGAGGCTGCAGACGTCTTTGTCGAGAAACTGCGTAAAAAAATGTAACAAAATTTTAGAGACACGTGAAACGGACGCACCCTTTCAGTGCTAAGATAGACAAACACTACTCACTTGGCTTGAAGCTCGCGCAAATCAACTAGCGGTTGCATTGCTTGAGCTGAAGAAGGAATAAATAATACAAATCAAAAAGTCAACAACGTTGAAATGACTCTTGTTTAATTCCAGTTGAGGCTTGAAAAAAGTCTCCCATTAGTGACAAGCTGGAACTAACCTTTTACAAGTTCTTATACACATAACTGAGACGAAGCAATGGTGTACCAAATTTTCCTTCCGTGAAAAAAAAAAAAAAAAAAAAAGACATGTCCCATGATTTCTTTTATTGATGAAAACAGCCGAGGGCCAAAACCTTAGTAAGCCTAATAAACACAGATTGAGGCAGGCTTTTGAAAAAGGAAGCTTGCCTTATACAAGCCACAAGGTTTTTGTCTGGGGGTTGACGAGCTAGACTCGGTGCACTTGAAACCAAGAAGACCGCACCTGTAAGGGTAGGTGCTCGATCCCGACGATCTTACTGACAAATAAGGGACTGTGAACAGTCTAGTCAGAACGGGTATTAGATTGATCCCTCCCTTCCGCTATACTTTCAGTTCGACGATCTTACAATACGAGGCGCAGAGGTTTTCCAGCCATTTTGCCTTGATGAACTTGAGCTCAAGTCTGTCACGCTAGTATGCCAATTGCATAGAGAGATAAGCACGAACGTTACCTCGCACATTAGAGCGGCCGGTCCTAAACATTAGATAAAAGCCTGTTGAAATACATTGGAAGCACGCTTACCTCTCCTGCGTCTCCTTCTTGTCTTAAAACAGAAGGCCGCTATGACGATAATGAGCAGAAATCCGACGCCACCGGTGATGGCAGAGATCAATACTACTGGTATTTCCGTCTGGTCTATTTCTGAAAGAGTACAACTGATCAACAAACGATCGAGAATCTTTCCTTTTTTTATCCCTTCCAATGTTTACAGCAATACTTAATACATAATACATAGCAAAATTTATGTCCCTTGCTAAGTACAAATTGTATAAAAGCTGTCAATAGAATAAGAAGGGAAAACAAATCTACGAGCAAACTCTTATTCAGGAGTTTCAAGAGGCGTGGAAATACACGTCTAATTTTTGATTACTCTGTTGATCAGCGAGTGCTAGTAGCTCACGATGATCATTAAGGCAAAGCAGTCAAATTCTAGAATAAATTATTTTTAAATTCAAGTAGGCGAGTCCGTCGTAGTTCAGTATCAGTTCGGTATTTTTTGGACTTTTAGTATCCAGATACCTTACCAGTCGTCGCAGTGGGTGTCGGGAAAGGCGTTGTTGGCTCTAGATAGAAAAGGACAAGTCTCAGTTAGCTGGTAACATAATTTCATATTCAAGCACCTAAACATCAATCAATCACAATGCCAGTTTTCTTTGCTCGCTATGTGAAATTCCAACTTTACTAATGCTAAAGGCAATTACATACCTTTATCAGTTAAAATACCCCCACAAATGCGACCAGCGTGCGTTGGGTCGGAATCCGCTTCTAGTGACCAGGTAGCAAGACTAATGAGACTTTTTTTGGGAGAGGGAATAGTGAGCGTCTTTACATTTATGGGACAAAATAATGTTGTTGCAAATACTTGGTGGAGGTATCAACGGTTCCATTGTACACGAATTCCATATATGCTCGAGCTCTAGCCTCAAAAGTTGTAAATATATGAATGAAAATGCAATCTCAACACGAAGAAGCATCACTAAAGCATAGGAAAGGCCAAACATACGAACAAATTAAACTAGCAAAAATATATATATATATTTCTTTAACCCTTTAAGTCCCAATAGTAACCAACATCAATTTTCTCCTAACAATATCCATACATTGTCAAGAGATTAGGTTATGAGAATTAATAAAATGATCACTTAAGAGAAAATGCTTTGATCTTTTATCAAATTCTCTCAACTTATCCTTACAAGGAAATGTATAGAGACCAGTTTGAAGAATTTGTATATGGAATGGATATTGGGGCTTAAAGGGTTAAAAGAGTTGATCCACTACAAACTGGGGAGAATGCTTTGCGCCTTTCAAAGTACTTTGAGATATAATAGCTTCTGCGACCACCATTTTGTACTATTGAGGAGTATAAATAATACTCTGTGCATGTACATATGGATTAAAATTGCTTTCACGATAATGTCTGCTAATTTTTGAAAAAAGTTTACCACTTTCAAAAAGTTTCAGGGAAATCCGTTTGGAAGGTAAATGGGTCCCCTACTCTTTACAAACAGTGTCTGGGTCCTTTAACTATCATTATGCCAAATTTCATGCTTTTAACAGAAAGTGAACAATTCGAACACATATCTGCTCTACTATGAAAGGAATTTTCGGTTAGATCAAATTTCTCACCTTATACTTTCATGCTATATTTTTTGGCGCAGAGGGATTGGGGGAAGGGGGTGCATTGTGAAAAATCCCAGTTAAAAATACTGCTGATCGTTTCTTGTGCTAAATGCTAAATGCTAAATTGCCTATTTTTATGCATAACGGTATAGAGGCTTAAAAAAGCGCGGTCGGCAGACCAATTAACCTCTATTATGGGGGTATTATTTTAAGAACTAAACAGCTTTATCAATGTAATACTTCTCCCTACCTGGTGGAGTAATGAATATCTTTGATAAACTCTTTGTCCCCTTTCCTTGATCGTTTTCTGCCACTACAGAGAAATTATAGGACTTGTCCCATTTCAGCGTAAAATTGTGGTTGGTAAAATTGCCCACATCTTTTTCACTGGAATTGCCGCCTTCTTCCAGAATCCAAACCCAATAACGAAAAATAGGTCTGCCTCTTTCATCTGGTTGGCTCCAATATAGGACAAAGGAACGGTTGTTTAAATGTCTTTGCTTGTTTCTTATTTCTGGACGACCTGGAGGAAAGGCTGCACGAACAAAGAAACAGTACAGAAAAAGGAAATTAAGGTTCCTTCCCTACTTTTAAACTGGGGACACTCCACGAGACACTTTTTTTAAAATCCATTTTTACCTGTTCTATTAACATGCACTTTGAAGGAGTCATTTCCAAGGACATTTCTCGATAAACAAGTGTAGATGCCAAAATCTGACTCACTTTGAGGCTTAATATTTCCAGTTGTACTCCCGTTGAATAGCAACCGATCATCTTTCAACCATATGATTTCTGGTTGTGGATTTCCTGTTGCCTTACAAGTCAATATCGACGAGTGATTAAGCCAAGAATCGATTTTCTTGTCACGACCAGTCTTGTTTATCATAGGTCTATCTGGAAAAGTAAGGTAAAAGAAGAACGCTAACGGGTTCTACTCAGCAGGTTCCTTTCTTTTTTGTTTTTGTTTTTTGTTTTGGTTGTTAGTGATCAGTGGCATCCCTTATTTCATGTTACTTATTTATACTTTTTATTGATCAAGGGTATCAAGAGGAGCCCACAATCCTAGTCTTTCAGTTGCCATCACGCGCGTTTGTTTGGACTTTGACTAAGAATAAATGGAATGCTCAGAACGCAGACTAATCACGCACGTTTGGACCATCAATTACTCGTAATATAATCACGCGCGTTTACGCAAAGCACAGCGATGGAGCAAGGGTGTTTTGACGCCGCGCCCCGTAACCTTTGGTTATTACTAGTTAATGTTTTTCCCGTCGACAGGTTGATATTAGAGAGTTTTAGATCCGAGTTTACCGCGAACCTCTAACCGCTGGAGGTCACGTGACAAGTCTTTCGCTTCACGTTTAAGGTTTACGACGTGCGTTTTCAACGTGGGGAGATTGGTTTTCACGTATGTCATTTACCTGAACACTTTTAGCGTGTAATTCTTGTTTCATCCCACGTAATGATACAAAAATCTTGTGGAGCAAGTCTTTATCCATTAACAAAGGCACAAATTCGGGCGAAATGCTAAATTTTATAAATCCTATTGGATCTTGAAAACAAGTGCCATTCATGGCTGCTGATTCAAAATGGCGGCCTTAATTTAATTCACCGCCAATCTAAATCGAATTTTGTTTGACCGTCGAACCGCAGACGGGTAACCGCAAACCGCGGTTAGAGGTTTGCGGTAAACTCGGATCTAAAACTCTCTATTAAGAATGTTCGACACGAAGGTAGCCAGCACACGTTTTAACTTCCACTAAGAATGAATGGAATGCATAGAACGCAATCTGATCATGCACGTTTTTGGCCTTCAATATATCAACAGCCTTAGAGCAATAGTTTTTTGACCTTCAACCAGACGCCCGAAACTCGGCCTTAATCACTAACCTGATTACCAACTGTAGTGTATTCATTTATTCTTATTCTTATTTATTTTTATTTATATATTTCTTTTTGCCGAAGGGCCATTTTAGACAGCTCATCCCATTCGGGCTTGCAGATCGTTAAGACCAAACGTAACGGTTTGGTGTGATCAACCGAGTTGAAAAAGTCAATTTACAACTATATTAAAAGGTATAAGAGCTGACAGTTAAAACGCTAGCGATCATTTTTGTACAATAACTGAATTATATCTCGCACGCTGATTGGCTTCTTCTCATTATCAATAAGAGGGCAGACACATAACATTTTAATTAGTGCAAGACGCGGTCATTTGCCGAACGAATGCCAAACTTCGGTGTTTTTGCTTAGTTCAGTCATTGGGAGCTAAAATGGTCGGACATTTACGCATATCAATGAGCCATTGAGGCGGACTAATCAGGCAAAGTAGAAGATGTACTTTCTGTTCTCTGAGAAAAATAGATGTCAGTCTTGCATCAGAGCTGTCTGGCTGTTTGGATTCTCTGCAAAAAGCTTAAGCAAAAGAAACTAAACACGTCACTTAGTTTCCAAAAGCGGAGACGACTTGCTAGAAGTTGTACAGTTTCAAAACTGCGATTTAGAAAAGCTTTTAATATGCGTATATAGCTTTAAAATTAGCTTAAAGATTCCAAAGAGAATAATATAGAAAAAAACTAAAACGTACAGAATGATGTTTTTTTTTCTCGTTCTACATTCTAGCGTTGGCGTCTAAATTCGTCACTTTGTCGCCAAAACTCCGGTCACTTTGCTCATGTATTCAGTTTGTTTATTAAAAATAAGCACCAATAATGAGTGTTTTTCTGATCCTTTTTTCCGAAAGCAAAACAAACTTTTTGTACAAACTTTATGCAACTTTGTAAGTACCTGGTAAGTCGAATTCAAAACTTCATGCTTAATATAACCCACCTTTCGGTTTGATTGTACACAGCTCATACAGCTAAATGGAATTCAGGACGACAAACAGGACACGACCTGAAGTTTAACCCGCCGTACACGATTTTTGTTCGTACTGATCGGTTGGCAACTCTTCAAACCTGCCAGGCTAGTTTGATCTTGAGACAGCTAAACGGTACATTGCTCCGACTTCTTCGGTTACTCTAACGGCTCCAAAATCTTTCCTTGGAATAATATTTAACCTTGGGTTAGTTCACGACTTTATACAGCCCTAAAATGCCTTCGTTTTTCAAGACAATAAACATCGCTGATCTCATTCTTGTTTGAAGTTTGCAAAACAATGTCATTCCTAATTTATGCAGGACAGCGAAGTGACTCAACCTGTCAAATTTTTAGCCAATGAAACTCCATTACTTGTCATACATACATACATACATACATACTTTTTGTTACCTCCCAAAGGGGCTTTTCAGGAACAATGATTATTTAAGAGCATGACAAAATTTATATTAACTAATTACAACACTCAACTTAATACTAATTAAAATGCTAGCCAATCACTAATTACAATGTTTTTTAAACTTAACTACGAAGTATGTACAAAATTATCTAAAAGCTGTCTCCTAACAGTCCTGTAATAAAAGGCTCTCCATCCGGAGGCAGTTCTGAAAAGAAGGATGTTTAGCTTTTTGGCTACTCTGAGTTGTTCGTTCGCTAACTTGCTCACGGGTAATAAATTGGGAAGTAAGATATTCAGGGGCGTGACCGGTCATGCATTTGAAGGCTATAATAGGTTAGCGATAGTACAGTTGACCTTAAGAGGCCACCAAGACAGGCTTTTTAAGAGAGGTGTTACATGATCATATTTTTTTTCTCGCCGCTGACGATTCGGCAAGCAAAGTTTTGAACGGCCTCCAATTTTCTAACATTCTTATTTGTGATATTTGCCCAAACATTCGAACAGTAGTACATTTTGCTGAAGACCGAGGCATGCATTACGGTTAACAACGTATTTTTGTCTAAGCAATGTTTGACCCGGTTAATTTGCGCTAGGCGTGCTATACATTCCGACACTGTGGTCGTTATATGGTTATCAAATGCTAAGTACGGATCCAAATTACGCCAAGATCTCTCGCTGATTGCCCTGGGGAAATGTCAGTCCTTTTCCAATAAAGACAAATGAAATTCACGGAGCTTAGAAGTCACCTTTCGGATCTTCATTCATTTCTTGGACAATCCGTTGGGAGTCGTGTAAATTAAAACAAACAAACAGTTTTGTATCGTCTACATAACATTCTGTAGAACAATGCCTAGGAGCTTCTGGTAGATCATTTACGTACATGCTAAATAATAGGGGCCTAGAATACTGCCTTGAGGAACGCCACATTCAACTGGAAGAGGATCGGAAGGGCGATCCCGCACCTATTTGAAAGATTGTTTGTGATTAGCTGGGAAAACAGTAGGGATTGTCACATAACAATGCCCCTATCCCTGATAACAATGGGAGTGCAGATTAAAGGGAGAAAGGTTTAGAACAGAGTGCAGATTAAAGGGAAAGAGGTTTAGAACGGTGCAGGTCTACTGGATCAGAAACGGAACTATGAATTCGTACATCTTGATATCTATTTTTAAGGTAGATGTTAAACCATTTTAGCGCGCTGGTTGAGGCGCTGACGCTGCGTATTTTACGACTAACAGTATTTGGTGGTCAACGCTGTCGAAGGCTTTACTCATATCTAAAAGTACACAGGCAGTCTATTTCTTATCATCAATTCCTTTGAGAAATGCATCAGTTGTGTGAATTAAAGATGTGTCAGTAGAGAACCATTTTTTGTTGCCGCTTTGTTTTGTGGTAAACCTTTCCTTGGTTGTCAAATAGGTGACAAACTTATTATAAGCCACTCTCTCGCAAACCTTGCTGGTAACAGGGAAATCCGTCTGTTATTGTTAGGAAGTTCGTGGCTGCCTTGTTTGGGAATAGGTGTCATTTTGGCAGTTTTCCAGACCTCAGGAATGTTGAAGCTAAGAGATAAGCATTGATGATTGACGTAATAAAAGGGAGTGCGATCAACAGGCTGTCCTTAACGACTCAAGTTGGCATATTGTCAATCCCAGGGTCCTTATTAGAAGGCATTGCGTTTGTGACGTCCGCGACTTGTTTACAATCAGCATTATTAAATGTAAATTGCTCACTAGTAGGAAAACATTTAGGAGGAAAAGCGTTTGCATGAAGAACGAAGTGCCCAAAAAATTACTATCCGTCGTTCTCGGACCATCTGAAAGACTTACATGGCGCTCTGTACTGTATGTATTTAAAGACATTACGCAAATCAAGTCTCGAACAATTTCTTTGTTTCTCTTCTTCTTCTCCTTCTTGAAGCAGCCTTATTTGTTGGCCGTATCCACGGATGCTCTAATTCTCTAAACAACCTACGCATGGAAAAAAGTTTATAACGCCTTTTATTTGATTAAAGGGCAACTCTCGCATAGGACAACATTTTTCGGAAAAACCTTACAAATGTTTTTCTCATTGAAATACCACCAAGAAATACATCTTCAGCGATCTATCTGACTCAGAGATCGAGATTCAAAGTGTTAAATTTGCCGCTTACTCGAACTTCTGCCATTAACGCTTCGATTTTGCCTATCACGTGACGTAACGTCACAGGTGTGGAGCAACAGATGATCACGAATATGGCTGACTGTAGTTCTTCAAGTGATAGCGCTACCTCTTTGTCCGATTATTTGGATGTAGAAGAACTTTTAGAATGCCAAGCATAGGGCAGCCCTTCACGGGAATTCAACCCCGGCGTTTGAGCCACCTGGAAGATCGTCCGAAGCTGATGAAGTTTGTGCATCGCCAGAAAACATCGCGCCTGACACTCGCCCGCAGCGATCTCGATAGTGAAGAATGGTGAGTGCCTAGATGGTTTTGAACAATTCTTGTGTACAATTCGCTCCGCATATCGCTTGATTTCATCAATGCTATGAATGTTTCAAATTGTAAAAGGAAAAGGACTAATTAAACAAGCATTTTTTTTGTATACTGAGTGTTTATAATTTTAGATCATTGTTTTCACATGTACAAGAAGTCGAAAGCGTACGTTCCCCTTTTAACGACTACTGGAAATGATAATCTGGGCAAGTTGTCACAGTGTAGTTTTTTTTTGTTGGAATTTCTGCTTTAATCCTCGTTTTACAAAAGCAGTGATTCATATCGGAAGTGATAACTACGCGCGTTCTCGTAATCCGTTGACTGCAACGCAAATAAAATTTCCTCGAATTCCATATCTTTGCCCCTTGACAGCCATTCATGCACGACTCGTGGAGTGCTTGCACTTTAAAATTTGTCTCTTTTGTTGTTATACAGATTGTTATACATAATAATAATTGAAAGGCGCTGTACAGTTGTTTTCCTACAAGTCGTTCACGTACTTTTACTGTCTTGCTCTGTCAATGAATTTGGTTCAGAAGTTATTATTCTAGCTGCTGTGTATCCTGATGTTATTATGAAGAAAATTTAAAGTTGGGATGAGATACACCTCCATACCCATGTGAACTAACTGCTTGCATAAAACGTTTCTGCTCCCCAGTATATGATTTTCGAGGCTAAGACATGTATTCACTAAAGTTTTTGTCCGGAGCATAACAATGGTCGTGTTAGCTACAATAATATTGCATTTGATGAGATATAACTGTAGGAACGTCTATACCTAATACACCCAGTATTGAAAATGTGTATATATATGAAACTATTTTGTGGTTATGGGCAGGAGATAATCAGTGATGAAGGCATAAACCTTAAAGAGTGAATAAGCTCAAAATTGAAATAATATTCTCTGTCTTAACTCATGGCAGTTTGATAATTTTCTGGGTGCAGAATGAAAAGGTCAATATTCAACACTTGTTTTGTTACCCTTCATTAACCGACGTTCAGGATTTATGAGTAAAGAAAAGAACTACCATTGGATGTTTGCAAGGTTATTGTATGGCTACTTCCAGACAATGTGATGACAGGAAAAATTATCTACTTCCAAGAGGTGGTTGTTGTAAAAAGTAAATAGTTGGAGGCATTTGAGTTGAAAATATGGAGGAGTCTCCAATGTGCATTGTGGAACACCCAGGATTCCAGGCAGTTTGCCTGAATCACTGGATGTTACAAGCTGCATGGCAATACAAGCAGCAGTATGGTGCCTCGGCATATGAAGAATCAGATCATAAAAAGCAATTTTCCCACTCACCACTGGAAGACTGGGCTAGAGCAACTTTGTTGCCATTAAAATGGTTGCTACCCAGCAAACAAAATGCCCCTACTAACACAAATATGCAGCATGGAAGTGACAACAATAATTGTTAGAACTAAAATATCTCTAAGACAGGTGTGATTGTTGACTGGGAAAAAATGTACAAGTTGAAACTTTATTTCTTAATTATAAAATGATATTTTATTGTTCATTGCTGTATATCCTTAGGTTGAAATGGGAAGTCCTCATTTTTAAATTACAATTCACAAATGGATTGTTTACATCTTGCATATTTTAATTGATAAGCCAATAATAATAAAGAAAACCGGTCACAGTTTAAGTGGACCATACAGTGTATGGTCATCTAAGTCACTAATTGCAGTAGTGACCTAGCTTAGCCTAAGCTTCAAAGAATCAAAACATTGCAGGGCATTGTAGTCCTTCTTTAGTTGACTAGGCTGGAAAGATTTTATCTGCTAACGAAAGAACCCATTGCCTCATCTCTGTTGGGCCTCTCTACGGATGCAGCAAGTAGTGCAGGAGCATTCAGTTGCAGGTTCAACATGTAGTTTCTTAAAGCCCTTGAATTTTCTTACTAGCCAGCAAAGACTTTCGGTTATGGTGCTTGAGCCATAACCTTCAATAAAAAGGTTCATACTGCAGGAGTGAACCTTGCCTAGTTCTTTCTTCTTTTTCGCTCCCGTTATCGATTTTTTCTCCTTGGAATTTTCTATGAGTACCGCGTCGGGGATTTAAAAACGAGTTAATAATTTCTTTTTTTTCCTTTCTTGTGAGAAGTCCCAAAGTGAAGTATTGCAAAAGAAGCGTGATACGCGTGCTATCACGGCAGCGGGTAGGACGGGTACAAAGTACCACTAAAGATAAGTGAAGAAATCCTATTGTAATCAACTTTTTTTTAACTGTTTTAATTTCCTTCTATCCTTAAAAGGCACATTACATGTAATTTTAGCGTGTGTGCAGGTTTTGCAATGGAATGACGCTACAATCTCGAGAGCACATCTCGAATAACTACATTCCAAATAATAATGATCATAAAATCGCACCTTTCGGCGAGAAGTGAGTTTTATTTCGCGTGTTTAGAAGCAAAGGTAAATGGATGGAACCTGCAGATTTCAGACAAGAGAACAAGACACTTAAGTGAAAACACAAAAGGCGGTATAGAATCAGGCCGGTACGGCGGTCTGTGACGAAGTTCTCTTCAAAGGTGGGAGTATTTCCCGGGAATAAATTAAGTCTTTTTCGAGGAATGAAGGGCATCAACACCCATCAGGTGACATTAATGGTTGTATCAGAATTTTAAATCTGCTATAGGAAAGATGTTCTTTGTATTATACGTAGCAGATTACGAGCTTAGCTGTTTACAATTATTGACCTATGGCTCTTGCCTCGGGTCGATAAATGTCTCACGCGACTTCAAAATTACCCTAACAAAAAACTACAGAAAATCACCAGCATCTAATGCCCGTGTAAATTTTAAAAATGGAACCATCATCGAAATGCTTTTCCTGAACGTTTCTATGACAGTAGAGTCTCTATTTCTCCTTTATTTACAAGAGAAATTTGGTGCGTTTTTCTCTTATAATCTTCACTTGGCAATACGTGTTCCACACATGCGACGTAAAATCACGTGACTAATCTGAATTCCGAATGTTTTCAAAATGGCGGCAAAAATCGAGTTTTCGAAAAATTATGGAAAAAAAAATAAGTTTCGCAGATATATCGGAAATTTCAACAAAGAGAGATACTACATGCCATTAGGAAGCCATAGAGAACTTAAAAAACAGGGTAATTTTCCCGAGAGTTTCTCTTTAATGATTTTGATTATAATTTTAATAAAATACTTACATTGGACGTTCAAATAGATCAACACAGAACTGTTTCCAATTTTATTGCTTGCTTGACAAGCGTATTTACCATGCTGACTTCTAGTCGTGTTATCAAACTCAAGGAGTCCACTGTTGCGAACACGAGATCCGTTTGGAAGTGTCCAACGAATTAGTGGAAGCGGATTACCGCTGACCTTGCAGGTAAGCTGTGTCTTGGAAGATTCGTTTACTGTTAGGTTCGGCGTCGAAAAATTGATAGCTGGCGCATCTGAAAAAAAATATATGATACGGTCGTACTGAAATGTGGGGACATTCTTGGGACCGAGGCAAGTATTCCCTGCGTAGAGGTTGGGCTGAGTTTGTTAATAATTAACCTGCCTCGAAATCTGCTGCAACCTTCCTCAAGGTTTGAGAGCCAGGGTGTACTGAACTAAATAGAGGTTAAACCTGGGTTTTGGGACCCAGAAAAAAAAAATTAATGTGGGCGTTTTCAGGGAAAAAAGATGTATTCCCTGAATGTAGGTGGCCCTTGAATAGAATTGTCCAACAGGAAAGGTTTCATTTATCATGAATACTTCGACTAGGGTGCAAGTGGGGGTGTCACAAGTCTTCTCGGCTATTACTGTTGCAATCATAGGTAAGCCAAAAAAATTTGAACTTGTTTGCAGTATTCCTTAAAAATATCCAAGTACAGCACAGTATGTGCGGTCTTTATGGTTCATTCTTAAAATGTTAATGCCTAAAAATAAAAGGAAAATGAGCCAAATATTGTTTATTGTTTATCATCATTTTACCACTGATACAAGTTAGACATTTTCATAAAATTAAGAAAAAAAGATGAGACAAGAAAGCCCAAGGAAGCCAATAAGGCTTGCGAATAGGACCACCTTTAAAAATATACTAATTAATAAAAAAATAATGACATCGGCAAGAGAATTTAACTAAGCACATAATATATAGATTTAGCCAGAGCTAACAGCGAAGCCCTCGATGATATTTATAGTTTTTCCAAACAAAATATAAAATCGTTTAATGCTAAGCGGCGAAGGCAACGCCGGAGATCGGCGAAAAACAACAATAGGTCTAAATAGCAAAAAAAAAAACAACAACAACAGCTTTCCACATGCAGCACACTTTTTTTTTTTTTCATTTCCTTGCCGTTGTCTTGCACGACTACAACGCAAAACTTCCAGAAACCGTTTTTTTATGGGGGAAATGTCGTACGTGTTATCGTTCACTTTTTTTCACTGCCGCTCATTTTCACCTTACATTGGTGGCCGCTAGCATTTCTCATTCTGTCGTCCCTGCTACAAAATTTTCATGTTGGCTTCCAACAAAAAATGTCTCCTTTTTTTTATCTCTCGCTCTAGATCTCTGTCGCCCTTTTTCTCGTTGAGTTTTGCTGGCCTGTCGCCTACTCTCTCTTTTCTCTGTCTTTCTCTTGCTCTATGATCCAAATTTGTGGACATGACCATTAATCTAAGCACAGCACTTTAGACAACACGGAGACAGAAACAATTTCCGCTTTCCGTTTTCGTCTTTATTACCGATCTTAAGTTTAGGTAGACGGCGACATACAGGACGGTAACTTTGGCCGCGACAGCTTGGGGAGGGACGACGTCGACTTGGCGAAAGAAACAATCAAGCTTTAAGTTTCAGTAGAGGTGACGGTCGAAGACTTTTCTTAACTTTATTAAAAGGTTTGAGAATGGGTTCCCTGAAAGAGATCCGAGAGCTTTTGGTCTACTTTTTTCATTATGATGGTGTCATATCAGATGAGAAATTCGTTCCCTTTTACGATGAAATCTAGTTAAGCGCTTTGTTGCTCGAAAGTGAATGTTCGTCGCTACATTGAGCCTATTTGCGATCTACGTATTGCCAAATTTTCGCACGCTCCACAGTTCGTACGGCTGGTAATCGAGCCTACACAGCTCTTGGCTTGAAGCGGTAGGGCTCACTTCCAAGAACTTCTTTAGCAAGCTGAATATCGTGATCTTCAGTCCACTCCATCTTCATTAAAATAAGAACAAATTATTAAATACGATTGACAAGTTGTGCGCCAAAATAAACAAGTTCCTTCATCCTGCTTTATACAGCATGATACAGGGCATTATTTTGCCAAATAAATGGTAACCAATTAACACGTACAACTTAAGCAGAACAGGTGAACTAAAAACTACGTGAATGAAGAAAAGGGTAGTTCAGATGGTGAGAGAATACTTAAATGTAATTATTATTCATTCAAAATATTTCCCCAATTCTGATTGGCTAAAAGCGTACGTTTCATTCACCATAACCAGTTACTGATGACCAAATTTGAAAGAATTTTGTGTTTAACGAGAAAATGACGTCAAAAATGCAGCCTTTTACAGGTTAATGAACCGTTAACCGAGAAGACCTGGGGACGAGGTTGAGTTGTTTTGGTTGTTAAACCAAAAATGGCCGACACTTCACTCGTTTCAAGAGTAAGAACTACAGCCGGAACTAGGCGAAGTAATAGTTAAAGACATAGCAAAAACAGCAAGAAGACAACTCGGAGGGCGACATCTGCTATTTGGATATAATATTTGCGGAGCTGGACAAACCTAAACGTACACTATCGAAGATGAACTGAACATCAATGGACCGATGGAGGTAAGCATGTTTTAGCTATGTTTTTAAACTAGGAATTATTTTGAATGAATAATAAATCTCGGAGGGTGTTGTTGTCCGCCTCGGCGGCCTCCTTGATCTCCATAATTCTTTATAAGATACTCAACCCCATTCAATAATTGTTAACTATTTTATCGCTGAGAATTCTAACCCTGCAGCTGTACCACTTGCTACACAAGCTCATGTTATATTCAATCATAAAATAGTGTTAAAGTAAGTAGTTGAGAAAGGTTTACCATTTGACATAAACTAGACACTCTAGCAACAGATAAAAGCGGTATTCTGTTAAAATAAAGATGTTTTGAAGACGAAAACACGAATGAAAAACTCACGTTCTCGAGACACCGTCGCACTCAGCTTTCTCACCGTCGCGACATGCAGACGACGTAGGTTGGACGGCTGAGATATATGCTAATTAGACCCAAATCGGGCAACTTTATTTCCTGTTGCCGTCCTCCACCTTACCGTCCACCCTAACTTAAGGTCCATATTGACTCTTTAGCTGCCTCTGCTTTACACGACGCGGGTGGCTGAGCGATTTCCGCCAAAATAACCTCGAGTTGCAATTGGGGGTTGCTATACCTGTTGACTGAGATATTTTACATTGGTATGCCTGTGGTGCGGACGGACGGTCGCTCGGTCGGTGTACGGTCACGTGATTACCAAATTTTCTCGAATGGGTATATTGCCGCATTTTCTTACCCATGGTGCTCCGCTGCGTGCGCTTCGCGCCAGAGAGCTCCGCTATAATTACTTTAGAATACAGATAATAATCATTAAATAGGATAAAAATAGATAAGGCTGAACGTGTAAGAGCGAAAACGAAAAAGAAAAAGCGAGAAAAAATATTGTAAGAATATACGAGGAAAAAAGGAAAGAAGCGAAAAACTACACACAAGTGATGAGAGAACTTAGTGTCCTTATACCAAGAAAAAATGACTTAAAGGGGCTATGTCACCCAACACGCATGCGCGAGCCAATGAAAACAAACTTGAAAAAGACAGCCCAACTTTTTCAAGTTGTGTCGGAGATTTTGGAAGGCTGTTTTTATCTGTCTAAATCTCAGCCATCGTTCGATAGTTAGCGAAGTTTTGTATTAAGAATCAGTCTATGGTGATTACAGAACAATTTTTTGGCGTTATTTTAAAATTGTTTGCCTGTGGAATGTTTTTACGTGGATTTACTGTGTCCTCTTATCAGCGGCCGTTGTAATGGCAGAGTTAATGACGGCTACTCCACAATGAGTGATGGAATCTTTGATGGAATCTTCCCCTATAGTTCACAGGACCTTTCTATTGAGTTATTTTAGAGGCTGCTGGCTCTTGGATTTTTCTTGTGCTCAAAGTATGTGGACATATAATGAAGCGGCTATCGAGTTGGCGGCGGCCGTTTTTTGTAAACGATTACAAGAGCATCAGGCCATGAGTTTCGTGACGAAACTAAACTCCTGGCGAAGGAAACATTCTAAAATTCGGCTAGATTCCTTCTTGTATTTATCTCGATTCACGGCAAAGATAAACACGACCGTTTGCTCGTCCAGATTGTTCTCAACGGACTTAGAGAGGCACCTTAGTACGAGTTAGATCCTGTAAATGCCATGTTTTTGAACTGTTTGTGTTGGAGCATAATTTTGGAAAATAGCAGGGTTTGCTTTCCCTTTTTATCAACGGACTGCTTATAGTGGAGTAGTATACCAATGATGCTGGGTTTTTCTCGACGTCGCAGTGATTCGGCACGATCGAACAATTTTGCGCGATAATGTATGTTTCCCTAAGATCAAAACAAAGACTTGGTCTCTTGTTCTATCAGCATCTAAATTATAAAATCAATAGCGACAGACAAGTCTAATTGTTAATGATTTGAAACAGTCTTGGTCTTTATCTTCGGTCTAGCGTCTTTTGTAGCTCGTTTGTAAAATACAACTTCCATTTATTTTGTTGAATAAGACAATATGTTGTTGTTGAATTTTTGTTTGCGCTCTATTTTATGAATAGCATGCGTTTTTACTTCAAAACTACAAGTAAAATTGTCGTCGCAATTTTATTCTTGATCTAGCATAACCAGAGAAGAAACGTTCCATAAATTCTATCGAAATATCCCTTATCTAAACCCATTTCGCTAAACCTCTCTAAATTCGGAACCTTGGACGTGACAGAGAACATGAAGAAAGTCACGCGTTAAAAACAATAGAATTTTGACAGTTGAAAGTAATTTGCATAACCTCAGAGCGCATGCTCTCCAGCTGACATAGCCCCTTTAAGTTTAGGATGGAACAAAGCAGCACTAGAGGCTAAGAGAATTAAACATTTTGGGCCCATGAAAATGAAGTGAAAATTTCTTTACAATTGTCCCGCAGTAGGACAAACGGAAGGAATTCTTACTTCTTAATCTAGTGTCATAAGAGCGTACGTCACAGTTAAGTAAAAACATGTCATTGAAACTATAAGGAGGAAGGCCTTTTTAGTGAAGATACATAACTTATCTATTTGAAGTTGGATAATATATTCAAATTTTAGAATTCGTAAGCTCACAAAAATAGGATTGGCACGTGCATCAAAAGGACTCTTGTCCGAAATTATTTTATCAACCCGTTTTTGAAGAGTAATCAAACGTTTAAGATTTGACTGATAAGTTAAGCTCCAAACACTCGCACAGTAATGTAAATAAGGATAAACTAAACTACAATAGAGAGTACATAAGGGGGTCATATTAAGGCAGAAATTGAAATCTTGATTTGTAAATAATGCCTACCGTGATATTAAGACTTTTCTTGGTACGTTCTGTATTTGAGAACTCCAAGGTAAGTGTTCATCAAATATAACTCTTAAGAACAAAACTTTATTTACACGATCATTTCAATATCATTAATTGAAAAATATAGGTTAAGTTTTTGCCTATTTTGTTTTGTTTTGAATAAAATAAAATTTGATCTATTTTATGTTAATAGAAAGCCTGATAAGGTACTCCGCATTTGATGTATTTAGAGGAGGAATTATAGCCATTGCCCTGAAAAAATTGAGTTTTACAAGAAAGATAACTCTAAATAGTAACTGAAGAGACGTTCACTAGGACATTTCCGTCATGTAATGGTGCTTATGATATAGTGACTTTTAAAGGAAGGCTTACTAGAGGTTAGAAAGCAATCAACAAACAAACAATCAAGAAATCATTCAAGACTAATAAAGTACTTACAGAGCACTGTGACAGTTGCTATGGCATTATCCTTCGGGTTTGTTGTGACATTAGCGACAGTACAGCTGTAGTTCCCCGAATCCTTTCTACTGATGTTTTCCAAAGTCAGCTGATTTGAACGTGGCAGCACCTTTTTTTGTGCCATATTTACTCCACATAAAGATGAGTCCGGTTGCGTTCGTGTTATTTCCTGACAAAGTGCAGTTAATAGTAATATTTCCCCCTTCTTCAACTGTAGTTATGTTTGGCCAAACATTGATGATACTTTCTGTAAAATTAGAAGACAAAAAAATAACTTCACGGCTAACCTTAAATATCAAGCAAGTACTTCCAAAGCTCAAGATTATGCAACTCTTTTCTTTGCATAAAGCCGATTAGAAGTGGTATAATTGGTTTCTCTTGGAGAAGATGCTACACCATCTCAGGGCGATCCTCATTCTAGAACTAGTATAATATCATGGGTGACAAATTTCAAAATTGCCATGGCAACATTTCGTACGTCTTAGTGCCAATATGTTATGGAGATGTCAAAACATTAAATGACGCGTTAGAAAACCTAAAAACACTCACGTGAAATTATTCACTAATTACACATACATATTTGACCGATATTTGTTCACACTGCAAAGACTTCACAACATTCACTGTTGTTAAAAAAACTCTTTACGACTGCTATTTACCCATATCTCAACGCACAACAATAATATACAGATTTAGCCAGGGCTAAAAGCGAAGCTCCTACTAACTCGAATTTATAGTTGTTTCATGTTCTTCTATGACTAAGAAGATAAGATTTTACAATTGTTCGGTTGGGCAAGGATTTTCCCTCACCCCCTACATATTGAGCAATATTGAGCATAATGTTACATGGGAATTGAAAATAACAGAGCTGAGCCTTACAATAGACAGTTTACTACACTGTTCCCAATGAAATATTTGGCTCTTAATTAAGTTGATAGGTACTGTAGTGAGTTACATGTGAAAACAACTAATCCACAAGACCAGACCGACAGGCTCAAAATAACAGGCAATCAACGTAACATGTTGGGTCAAGATTTGGTCGGTCAACATTAAGGCCCTGAAAAAAAAACGTATTTCTCAACCAAAAACCCAATAAACAAACTAGCCATGAATAACAGAAGACTCTTGATACCAGCTGAATTTCATTCTGTACATTCAGTGGAAAAAGACAGTTAAAAACATCACAAGTTGACACAAAACTCAGTCACCCTCAGCTGTCAAAGAAAACAAGTTTCAAGATGCTGCATAAATTTTCTGCATGAACTCACCTGTCAAATTTTGACGAATCAGAGCATAAAAATTGGACGTAGAGCGTGACCAACGCGTGACCTTGGTGAGAAAAGTCAAAAGCAACTGTCATGTCTTCCCTACCTGTAAAAACTGGCTGAATTTCAGCTTCCGAGGTCAGTTTGAAATCAAAATTTTAATTCTGCGGCACATATAAAAACATATTTCATATGAATTAAACTTACGCCTGCGATCATTTGAAAACTAGTAACTTGTAACCTCGATGGGTCAACACCTGAGCCCGCGATACGGGCAAGAGATGCTGATCAGCGGATACCCTGTTCTGACAGCTGTCAATTGATCACAAAATTGATGTGCAATATGTGTGCAATGTCAGTCTTCATGTGCTCCCAGACTAGCTAGAAAGTGTGAGATTGAACATTGGTTTTCCTGTGGTGCGGACGGACGGGCGGGCGGGCGGGCGGTCGGTGTACTGTCACGTGATTACCAAATTTTCTGGGATGGGTAGATTTACTTACCCATGGTGCTCCGCAGGAGCGCTTCGCGCCCCAGAGCTCCGCTATTAGTATATCTAATATTTAAATTTTTTAAATAATTATTTCATCTCCGTAACACCTGAATTTCGATGAGATGAACCCTATTTTTTTAATAATGGAAACTTTATTTGTGTTTTTGAATGTACAATTGTAAATCTCGCTACGTATAGGCAATTTACAAATGCTGCTTGAGATTGGATTATTAAAAAGAAGAAAAACAAAAAACAAAAACAAAAACAAAACAAAACAAAAGCCAAAAAAGAAAAAAAATTCAAAATTGCATTAAGTCTGTGCTATCCCATTTCTACAACAAAAGATGTAATATGTTGCTCTAATGGCTATATTTATCATTTTCTTGATTATATAACGTTGTTGCTTTTTGTCGATGCCAATGTCATTCATCATGTCTAAGAACATGGAGCATTCATCGGAGAAAACGCCAAGGGAACTCATAGAGATTTATAAATCTCACACATCTGTAATTTCTACTCATTTCCTTGATCAAGTTTAGATATTTTTCTTTCATACGCATTGCATTGTTGTTAAGGTTAGACTCGAAACCAACTGTTAATTCTAGAACTTATAGGCACTTGGACTGAATTAGGAAAAGACGATCTGGACGATAATTTTCACCAGTTATTATTGAGGGATTCAGAAAACCATTAACATCTGCATAGAGTGAAGAGTGAACATTAATTACAGGTTGAAGTGACTTGCCAATGAAGTTAAGGATTGAGTCGTGTCTCCAGGTAAAGCGATCAAGGTACTGTTGACAACCAGCGACAACATCAAGAAGTGATTCAGGATTAATTGCAAAAGGAGCAATCAGGACTTTGTGATAATCCCCATCTTGCCATATTCTTACGTGTAGGGAGGGAGTTGTTGATGTAGCGGATGGTAAAATTGTAAATGTTCTTGGGTAGATGAGACTGGACCTCTGACCAAATAGAATTTACAGATGACAATGAGTACTTGATAACATTTGAGAAGAAGAAACCTTGAGATGTTAGGTGGTGTTGCAGTATATCCTCTTGATTAGAACGGAAATCTTTAAGAACTTCCTTAGTGGATTTGTACACATCATATTGAATGTTAGTGTGACAGCTTGACGATTTCCAGAGATCTTTTAAGGAATCATTTGGTGACTCTTTTAATAAATTTCGGAGAACTGTTTGGCACTGAGTAAATTTAATAGAGGGAGGACAGTGTTACAGTGTTCCAGATATCGCAATATCAAGCTATTTTCGAATATAACCATTCACCAAGGAGGCGAGATGTTCCGTTATCCAGGTTTTGGATATATTTGCTATAGTGAAATGTCAGGACTATTTAGATAGGACATAGCGGCTGCACAGAAGAAGTTTGTGTTTAGGATGCAGTGGCTTTATATCAATGTCATTCATCAAGTCTTGTACAAGAGAGGACAATTCAGACATGTGTTGGTTGTTAGACATGTTGAAGTCAAAGAAGCGACCTAAGTAACGAAATGATTCACCCATTTCCACACAGGGAATTAGAACTCCATTGATCAACAGTTTGGGTAAATATTGGACAGATTTAGTGCACAGTTTCCGTATTCCAAAAGTAGAACATTTATCAACTCTTATTATCATGTTCGACCAATTACACCAGATTATAAAGCGGTTGATTAGATGTTGATTTTCTGATTCCTGACCGCTTATGACAGCGGCATCGTCAGCGAACTGGAGCCAGTGGATGGGATTTAAGAACTTGAGGGAAAAGCCAAATTGACGGTATTTTTCAGATTTAATATGCTGTAGAAACGTGTTAAAACACAAGTTGAAGAGAAGTGGGCTTAGGCAATCACGTTGGAGTACACCACGACCAACAGATATAAACGGAGTGCGAAATTCATTTGTAAGAATAGAGGTTTTGAAGTCAGTGTAAAGACTTTTCACCAGTGATTTGATATGATCGGGAATGTGGTGGTAATCAACAGTGGTTTGAATCAAGTTGTGATGAACTTCACCAAAGGCGTTTTTAATGTCCAAAAGAGTAATGACGAGTGAACGCTGTTTGGTACGAGCTTTGTTAGTGATATCAGCCATTTTAGCAGTGTGCTCCTGAAAAGTTCCAGAAAGACCTGGTGTAAAGCCTTTTTGAATATCCTGTTCAATGTACAATGGAGGACAAAAATCCTTGGAACGGTTATGGAAAACCTTCCTTCCACATCCTTAACTTATCAAATGTTCAGATGTAGAATAATGTACACTTCTCTAACCACTTGGATACCGCGACTGGCCCTCCCCTCCCCCCTCCAAACAATGTTGGGACGAAGAAACACTTTTAGGAAAGGGTAAAGTGTACAGGGGTGCACAAACTACAACATTGCTTAGGGGAGAGGGGGAAAGGGGGAAAAATTAAGGCAGATCGTGTTAATTGTCCTAAGAATTTTGTCCTCCATTGTAGTTGTTAACGGAGAGGAAGTTGAAAACGGCATTACGAAGACACGAAGTAAAAACCTTTAAAGGCACAGATTGTAAAGTAATAGGACGGAACATAGCAGGGTCATTAGCGTTTTCCTTTTTATGGATGAGGATTGTGCAGGCTCGCTTCCCATTCGTTTGGGACGGATCCAGTTGACCAAGCTGTGCGTATAATTTCAGATAAATAGGTGCGAAGAAAAGGACATCGTTTGAAACAAATTATTGACAGTTGATCTGGGAGACAAGGAGAACCAGACGCCTTCATTTTTCTAATCACATTTGAGATCTGTTGGTATGTTGGAGGTTCAAGGTTAAACGGAATTACAGGATCTGATAAAGCTGGTATCCAGCTTGGAAAGTTGAAAACTTTAGTCGGATTTACTGACGAAAGAGTTCTTGCAAAGTAATCAAAACACTCATTCATGGAAAACGAAGGGAGGATTTCATATTTTTTGTTGAAGATCTTTTTGACATATCCCCAGAAATTTTTAGAGATGGAATAATCATAATTCATCGGGTCAGCGTTGACTTGACACGACTTGTTGTCTCATAGTATGTCACGCAATAAGCGAGATACGTATTTGATTTCTGTGATGTCGGCGTTAGCGGACTGCTTCAAGACTTTGAGAGATTTCTTCAGATCATTTTTAGATTTGCCTTCGTATTTCCTTATCAGGCTTTCATCAGGAGCTTGTGCAACTTGACCAAAATTAACAGAGAAATTGTCATAAACAGTGTCGCTCAGAAGTTTAACGCATGATCTGAGATTCTGAACAGTGATTAGAGGATTCAGAGATAATATGGATTTAAAATATTCGTTGGCCGTTAACCATTGTTCTTCAGATTTAGGTAGATTTATTCCCTTTTTAATAATAATGATAATAATAATAATAATGTTAAACGCGGGGGTTCGGTTTAAAAAGGTTCCCCCAGCTCAATCAAATTAATATTAAAGATTTGAAACATGTCGTCGGTTGGCGTCGCGATGTGAGAATACACTTTACTCTCATTCTTGCAAAAAATCAAAACACATCTTGTGAAAAATAAATTTTAACTTATGGAACGTTGTTACAACGTGTAATTTATGATTTTTACGTCGCTCGCAGTACGGCTCAGGGTTATTGAGCCTAAATCTTTACTAGTTTTCGCTTGGTGCTTAACTTCCTATTCTCTTTCTGAAACATCTATTGCAAAGTACCTTAGTTAAATAGAACGAGTGTGTTGTGATAGGAGCCTTTCTTGACCCAGAAATGTGAACATTCGGGAACATTTGTTGTAGTACATGTATCACGGCGCCGTCCGGGTGCCAACGAGTTTGAACAACAAATGAAGCCAACGGGAATACAATGAGAGACAGAAAAACTAGTTAAGGAGTAGCCCCAGTTCAGCTAAGATCATCTTTATTAACAGATGTAGATAGTTATTTCCGACTCTGTGCAGTGTAATTGAAAAAAATATATATTATCGATCTGTCGTGTGAGACCCGATCTACCTAACAAACAAGAGGAAATTCACATGCAATACACTGCAGTTGAACGGTTGTTTTATTTGCATCACAAAACCTCTGGGAGTATACTGTACAGCAACAGAGAGTTGTATTATTCTTGCTATTGATAATTTCTTCTTAGAAAAAGCTTACTGGGATTGGAACGTCCACTGACATGTCTTTGGCTCATAAAAATAAATTCCACTCCCAATTCCTCTGTGTGAGAGCCCTGCCATAAATACTTCTTGGTTCATTTTCCCACACTTAGACGGTTACCTGATATCACAAATACAATTGACAGCGGCCAAAAGGTTAACGAAACGCTATGCAACTTGAACACAAATCATTTTCCTGGGAAAAGCCAGTATTCTTCTACTGTAGCGACCGAATCTTCCACAACGGTTAATCGAAGCCGTGTACGTGTGATACGCGTTATCCTCGTGGATACTTATTTATTCAATCGAAGACCAAAAGGAACAGGTTTTCTATAAGTATTCTTTATTTTGGCCAATGATAAAGTGCAACATATTGCGGTAGCTTGGATTTTTCTCCCGAGACGCGGGAGAATTCAAAAACGTGTCGCCATCTTGGCTGGGTTATCGGAAACTTATCAAAATCTTCCTAAGGAAGGTCTCTTTTTATAGGCACCCTCCGCGTTTAAACACGAGTCAATGAAAAGGAGGCTAAGTAAGGAGTACGTGAAGAGAGTCAAGAAAGTTATCAGGTCAAAACTCAATGGCGGAAACATGGTGAACGCTATCAACTGGTGGCTTGTGTAGCTGTTGCGCTACAGTGGTAAGATGGCTAAGTGGACTAAGATTGAGCTAATGAATCTTGATCGAAAGACCAGAAAATTGCTTACTATACATGAACAAATATTAGCCGCCTATACCGTAGTCGTAAGAGAGGGGGGTAAGGGCTGATCTGCATGGAGATTTGTCTTGAGCCATTAAAGCAGAATGTATGGAAAATGCAAGGAGAGTGTACAACTCATAGTATGTGGCTGCAGCTAGCTTGTCCAAAGAGATTACAAAAAGAGGCACGACACACTGGCTCGGGTTGTTCATTGTAAAGTTTAGGATCTCCCGTTTAGTAGCAAGTGGTACGAACATAGGCCTGTAGGGATAACTGACAATGAAGAAGTGAATATATTATGGAATTTTACCATACAAACCGATCGTGAGATTAATCACCGTAGGCCTGACATAACTGTCCATGGTAAGAATAACAACAAATTCCTTACCGAAGACATCGCGGTACCTGGCGACAGCAACGTTAAAAGCAAATTAAGAGAAAGAGAATTAGGAAAAATATCCAAGACTTAGCGAGGGAAACATCTAGACTCTGTGGGCAAAGACAAAATTAATACCAGTCGTTGTAGGAGCTCTAGGAGTGATACCAAAGAACCTAAAGGGTCACTTGAAGGGAATTGGAATTCCAAATAGGGTCTGGACTTTGCAAAAGTCTGCACTTCTTTGAACGGCCACCATATTGAGGAAGGCCCTTGAAGTCTAAGGTCTCGGGACGGCGGGACCAGACCAAAAGTAGAAAATGTTGTTGCTTCCAGTACAAAGAACGCCTGTGCGAATTCGAAATATAATAATAATAGATTCTCCCGGCGAAGCAGCTAGTTTTTTGATACTCAATTTGTACATTTTTTTCTGTTTAGTTTTTGTTTTTTAACCCTTTTTATCTCTTTGGTTTGTTTCCCCCGAGGTTTTTGCGATAACGTACGTATTTCCAGTAACTTGGCTTTTGTGTGGTTTACTTATAACTAAGCCTTTTACGCCGTACCACTCACAAAAAACAATTTTATACTAGAAATACGTTGTCGCGAAAATCTCGCAAAGCTGTAAAGAATCAGCAAAAGAATAAAGGTAAACAAGCCACAGGTAAAGAAACAGGATTAAAAAACAAAACCTAAACAGAAAAAAAAATGTACAAATTGAAAATCAAAAAAGCTGTTTGGCCGGGAGTCGAACTTACAATCCTTGTCACATTAAGTTGCGACACCCGGTGCAGAAACCATATTGCGACTAAACGTTTTGCTCTTTCCCTCCCAGTGTGGAATTTTTTGCTTCTGTGATGCTAACTCGCAAAAACCAACGTTGGGAGGACAGAAAACATCACAACTGTCCAAACTGATGTGACGAGGATTGTAGTTCTTGAAATTTCACGTTTGAAGTGGTCCTAACATGACAGATAACTTTCAGCTTAGTGGTTTGCAGGCTGTTATCCTTAAGGCATATGGATATCCTAGCACTAGAAAAGCCCAATGATGACTATGGAGCCTGCTATCCCAGATTTTTCCACTGCCCTTGCCATGAGTGTGAATAAAATAAAAGCAAATGGAATAGTCAGGTCTCTTAGTGCAAAATATAGGTCGGATCGTTACAGAAGTGACAAAAGTGTCAAATTTGACACAGAGCTTCCTTAGCACCTACTGATTAATACTGGAGGAGGTGCCCGTTACAAATGGTCCAAATTACAGATAAAAGGGTGGGGGGGGGTTAACTTTCACCTATAATAGCAAATTGAGTGCCCTGTGGTGAGTACTCTTCTTGTTTGATTTGGCTAAAAAACATTTGTTGCAAATTTTTAAGTTTTTAATTTGGTAATGTTTAGTTGTTGTTACAGTATTCAAAATAGTTTTACATGTACATAATACTGACTAGTGCCCAGTCTCCACACGGTAAGTGTGGCCATGTTCATTGTGCGGACTGTGCGGCTATCAGTGTCACTGCTAAGACTTGCCAGTGATAATATCATTACATATCAATTTAAACAGATCACAAAGCCAGCTTTCAAAGATGTCATACAATAACATAAAACGCAAATGTATCACATCCTAAACGACAGAATCGTTAAATTTTGACATGCCACATGAACGACCTCATGAACCGTAACTGACAACGCGCCCACTTTGTAATTGTGCAGCTAAGATTAGATTATAATTTGCTTCGTTGGTAACCCTGTCCTTGAGATAATGATTAAAACATGTCAACCTCGTCCTCAGGGGGGAAAACGAGGAGCAAGGGTGGCACAGTTGGTTAGTGCGCAGCCTTCGGGGCGAGAGGTCCCGAGTTCGAGCCCGGTGTCAACACCTCCTTATTTGAACTTCTCTTTTTTCTGTGTAGCTTTGACTAGCTTTAAATACCCCTAAAACGGAGAATTAATGGAGAGAGGGGGTAAAAGGAGCGAACCGTTGACCTCAATTTTATCACTTATTATTACTGTCACGAGGTATTGACGTAAGATATGGTTGCTTTACCTTTTTCTACCTTTTTATTAAGCCCTGGGGACGAGGTTGTAAAACATGCCTCTCCAGGAATTTTTAACACTCTTTATTTTTTGCACATTTGCATTTATAAGGTCTCGTAAAGGAAAACGAGGTGCCCACAGAAAAAAAATTCTAGTCGCGCGAATATTTTCGCTACAAAGGCAAGTTATATATCAAATTAAAGCTAAAAGACTAAATTACCTTATAAAAGATTTTATTTCATCGAATTTCAAAAGGCGCTTAAGTTTTTTGCTCTTGAACTCAGAGGTATCGAGTTTACTGCTGAAGCTCCAGCCCTTTGGCGTTGTTAAATATTCGCCTCCTTTTTATTGCGTCTGATTGACAGATAAAAGACCTAAGAAAGGGTGTGGGGAAATTTGCATATGTCTCGTGTTAGCGGAATTATTGCATTTCCAACTAAAAAGTCGAATCTCGAACGCGATTTACGCAAAGAAACTGACATAAAATGAGTTACAAAGGGAAATCGGAAAATTCCTCACACCCTTTTTGAGGCTATATCATTATCCATCATATCTGAAAGTTTCAAAGCTATAGCTTAAAACCTGTCCCGACTGGAGGTCGGAGAATTTTGATTTTTGCGTCTAAAATAGAGTGAGAGAAAATCAGCTCTAAAGATTTAACGCGAGGTCCACGATTGGCTGGTTAGCTCAGAAAAGGCTTATTTTAGAATGGTTAAAGAGCACTTTCTGATTTTCTTTTTCTGCCAAAATAAAATTTAGGACTCCCTCATGCCAAAAATCCCAAAAAAAAGCAAAATCGAGCAATGTACTAAACTTTTCATTTACCGAGACCTTAAAAAGAAGTGTAGGAGGTCCCTGCATGCCTAGACACCTGTAAGCGGCTCATTCACTTCAGAGCCCTTGGACCACAGTGTTAATGGTATATACGATCTTTCAAAAAAAAAGGAAGGTCGTCGCGTGCGTTACAATTTACAAACAAACTAACTTCAGAAGAGCTGAAATTTACAGGAACAAGGCCTCTTTTAGCCAACCAATGATGCATCATTTATGAAAATGAATGTAATTTGTCTCATGCAATTAGGCGAATACCCCGTGGTTACGAAATCTTACGATCATGAATTCCTCAAGAGCAATTCGGTTACCAACTTTTCAAAAAATAAGGCTGTGGAAAATTACATAAAATACCAAAAAAGCAAGGGTCAATAACAATTGTGGCCTGGTCCCTTATAATAATGGAGTGGTCATGATAAAGAAGCCCATCAGCCCCAACTTTGACCATTCAAAAATAATTTTTGACAGATTACATACTGCAAAACTTTGCATTCACTCATGCCTATGTTGCCACACCAGGAGCCTAGAAATCGTCTCCTGGTCACACCTTGTTTTTATTGCTAAATATCATTCTAAAGAGCTTTACGAAATATTTTGTTAGTAGGGGTGTTTTGAACATGATTGACATTTAGAGATGGTGACAAAAACGAACACAGAAAAAGTCACAAAACGAGACGCATGAAACAACCGCAATCTAATATTCGTTTTACACCGATATAATGGCTTCTTTGGCTGCTATGCTGACATTCTTGAAGATGGCCGGTAGTATCACAGCTCGTCCAGGGTTAGGTATACCGTTTATTACCAGTTTCACGGTTCCTGAGACTTGGGGCCTGTTAACATAAAGGTGGGGGACCCCAGGTAGGTGAGGTAACCTGCTTAGGTGGGGTAAAAAAAATAACCCTCCTTTACATGCAATCTTACAACCCCGCCATCCTGGGGTGCAGTTTCTCAAGATTATTGAATGGTCGCCAAGCATGTAAACAAGAAAAATGCTGGCAAACCACGTCTACACTCAATTTCTGCTCTTGCTGCAACCTTCAGGGTTGTGGCTTTCTATTGTTACCTTTAATAATTATGTGAAGCCACCCAGCGCCAAAGTGAATTTTGCGCGAATTTGATGTATCACGAATCCGACCCCGACTAGGCTGGGTTTCCTCACCTTGAAACGTTGACATGGCAAAATTTGACCTCAGCTGAGAGGGTTACCTGGTGTGGCAGACCGGGCTGACCACCTTGAAGGGTGACCCCACCTATCATGTAAACGTGATCAAATTAAAATGAGAGATTATATGGACGCGCGGGTTACCACACCTAAGTGGGTTACCATTCCTACCTGGGGTCCCCCTCCTCCATTTAAACAGGCCCTAAAAGTTAGCCCGGCCCCCTTTCTACAGTTTCAGCAGTTAAACCATTCACCATTTATCATTTGAGTCAATCTTGTACCACTTGAGTCTCACTTTTACGACTTGATAAGCTGTTATTATTTTTGGACATGAGTGCTTCAGTGCCAAATGTAGAGGCTTCGTGATAAACTGGGCTGTTTTTTGAAGCTTAGGCTAACTTGTTTCTTTTTTTCGTTTATTAGACCAGATTCTTTTTTGTTTGTTTTTGCTTTGTAAAGCTTAGACAAACTGCGGAAATTGTAAATGATATGACTTGTGCCACGGTGCTTGCTTCTCTGTCAAAACGTGCACTTGCGTCCAGCAGATAACTGGATAAAGAGAGACTGAAAGGGATCCAGGCCTATGTTAAGCTGAAAAATTAATTACCTCCCTAGGAAAGAACTATTTCGGGTTCTGTCATTTCGTTATTTGCTCTTCATGAATAGCTGTCATAAATCCCTGATAATATGTGATACAACAGACTCTTTGACAATTTCTTTTTCCTGAAATTTTGTTTGTGAATCACTATGCCATACGCTTTCTTCAGCTTAAAGTGACATGTAATGACAAGTAATACTTGATAAATAAGGCTTAAGCCACACAATAAGGCCCTCTGTAATTGAAATACATTAGAAAAGGAGAAGAGACCCCAGAAGCTGAGTACTTGCAAGTTATGAAGCAAAGACGAGGCCATCTTAGAAATGACTTATGAAAATGTGGGCGGACTGTGGACTTGCTTTAAGGGCATAGTAATAATCAAATTAATTATACAATCAATAAGCAAAAATGGATGGGAATGCCAGATGTTTGAGTGAAATTGTTGTTTACAACCTGAGAATAGAATTCAGAGTGATTTAAGGTATTAAATAACAATTTTCAATCAAAGCACCACAGGCACCCCAGCAGGTGAAATTTGCGATAATTAAATCCTGTTTAGCACGCTTCAGTGGCATATTTGCAGTGGGCACCCCCTCTAATATTCATGGTACTGCAATACGCTATCGCTGTGCAAAGTTTGGTGCTTTTGTCAACTCTGTAACGATCCT